CTCCTCCTTCTTGGGCTCCTCCTTCTTGGGCTCCTCCTTCTTAGGCTCCTCCTTCTTAGGCTCCTCCTTCTTTGGCTCCTCCTTCTTGGGCTCCTCCTTCTTGGGCTCCTCCTCCTTCTTAGCCTCCTCATGCTCCTTCGGTTTCTCGTGTTCCTCGTAGTGAGGCTTGGGCGGGTCCTTGTGCTCCTCAGGCGTAATGACCTCGGTCTTGCTCACCTTCACGGAGTGGTCATCCTCGTAGTCCTCGTTGATCTCCGTGGTGTGGGTGTTGATCGTCGCAAGGCTGAAGGAATTGCCGATGTCGTCGCCTTGGTAGGGATACACGGTACGAGCTTTGTGCATGGGCTGGTGGAGGGTGCGGCCCTCCTCGCCGGAGTACTCCTCAGACTGCTCCTCGCCAGATTGCTCCTCGCCAGAGTACTGTTCGCCAGAGCTCTCCTCGCCAGAGTACTCCTCACCAGAGTACTCCTTGCCAGACTTCTCCTCGCCATGACCGCGGTAACCAGGCTTCTTGATGATAGTGGTCTCATCAATGTCAATGGAGTGATCATCCTTGTACTTGCCAGTGTAGGAGTACGAGGTCTCGTGCACGTCGGCAAAGGACACGGCGTTGCCGACGTCATTGCCACCGTTCTGGCGGCGGTGGCGCGGCTTGCCGATGGTGTTCTTGTCGATGTCGACGGAGTGGTCGTCGGTGTAGGTCCCGGAGTACTTGGTGACGTACGAGTTGACTGTCGGGATGTCGACGATGTTGCCGATGTCGTTGCCGGAGCGGTCCTCGTAGTCGGAGGGGTCGTCGTAGGTAGAGGGATCCTCGTAGTCGTAGTCGGTGGGATCCTCGTAGTCGGAGGAGTCCTCGTAGCCAGACGGATCCTCATAGCCAGAGGGATCCCCGCCGACGACGGTAGCGCGCTCAGGAACCTCAGGGAAGTTATCGTCGCGACGGTAGTGAGGCTTCTTGAAGATGGTCGTCTCATCGATCTCAACCGAGTGGTCATCGCTATACTCCTCATTAACCTCAGAGTAATACGCATTGACGTTTTCAATGCTAAACGCATTGCCGATGTCGTCGCCGCCCTCGAACGGTTCAGGAGCGGCGGCGCGCTTGTGGTGGCCGTGTCTCTGGGCGCGCGCAGTAACGGCCAGGACGGCGAGGGGGATCCCGGTGTGAAGGCCCTTCATCGTGAATATTACTGATTAGGTGTAGTTGTTTGGTGGTGTATACGAAGTAATGAGTGGCTCGGCCGGGGCCTAAACGATGGAATGGAAGAAGATGCAAACAATAAACGAAACGAAGTGCCGAAGGTCGAAGTAAGTCGGAGTCGAAGAAGGTCGCCGCTGCGCTGTCCATCCATGAAGGCTCAGCTGCCTTTTATCAGGCGCTGTGGGCGATGGCATTCAGGGAGGTGTCGAGGCATGTTGGCTCCGGGGCAACACAGGAATGCGCACCGACGACGGACGAGAATGTGTAGAGGAATGAAGCTGCGACGGCTCTGGCAAATCGCGCATTGCACTTGCACCTCTTTAACTTGCAAAGGGACATTCCAGGACACGTACTACTACTCACGTAGGAGCGAGGCCGAAGGAAGGGATGGTCCAAGGTTGGTTGGAACGCACAGGGAAACACTGTGTTGACAGACACTGTGGTGTTGACAGTCACAGCCCAGAAGCGAGCGACAGACCTCGAGCACTTTTCTTTCCTCGACTACGGAGTACTCTTCAAGATCTCCAGTGCTACTGCCAATTGTACTGCTACTGTCTACACTAAAAAAAAAACTGAAAGATAATTGTATCCCGTCATCGACATTCCTCCCCCATGGAGCAGGGAAGAAACTTCCTATCAAGGAGGTTGTTCTCCAGAGCCGATCAGTCCGTAGACCGAAGGCAACTCGTCGCCGTAGAAAAGGCTGGACGACGGTCGTGGCAGGCTCTGTTAGCTTTTTTCGATGTATGGAGAGAAAAGAAAAAAAGGCGAAAGGTTTTCATTTTCGACGGGATTTTATCTGTCGCCGAGCGTCACGTGCCCGGGCCGACTCCTCCGGCGCCAGGCACACATTACTGCCTCAGGCAGCCAGGCACAAGGGGTATCTATACAGTCCATCGATAGCAAATACACGAAGAGAAGAGCAGAACACAACCTCATCCCAGCTTCTCCGTCCGGTTCTCACCCCTCCACACTCCCCCTCCCACCGCCGCCGTAATCCCCAGCGCCACAGCCACCATGCCCCCCACCAGCACCACCGCAACCGCGATCTTCACCGCCATGCGCTGCCTCGCGCTCAACCCGCCCAGACAATCACAGTATTTCTTCTTCTTGGCCCACAGCTTCAGCTTCGTCTTGGAGCTGCCGGTCTCCTCGCGTCCTTCTTCAACATCGTACAGTCGATGCCAAGGCGGTCGCTGGCCCTCGATATCGTCGATCGGACTGCCCACGCCGCGGACGCTGTGGGATCGGCGTCGCTGCGAGGCGAGTCTGGCGAGCTTGCAGGAGGGCGTGGCGTGGCGGTAGAAGGGCGAGTATGGTTTTGCGCCGACGGACGGGTCGTATTCCTCGGGGGCGGGTTGTTGGACGTCGAGATCTTCGGTGACGATGGGATCGCAGTCGAGGGAGGAGGATGAGGACTTTTCTTGCACTGAGACGGAGAGCGTCTTTGCTTCTTGGTCTTGGTCGGAGTCGGACAACTGCGACTGCTTTTCTGCGGCCATGAGGGGCTGAGTTTGGGCTTGCAGTGGCGTTTGTTTGGGTTTTGCCGAGTTGGGATCGGTGGAGGACGTCATGCTGCAGGTGCGTTTGATGCACTGGCTGAGCGAAAGGGGATGCTTGATAAATTCTGATGGATGAGAGTGAGAAGATGAAGATGATGAAGAGCCCAACAGTTGAGACTGATAGAGTTTGCCGGTCAGTCAGGCCGCCGGACGTTGAAGCCGAACGCAGCTTCCTTAAGCACGGCCGGCCTCCATCTCCGCGGGGGCAAACCCTGTGCAGCCGCATTGCAGGCGTTGGCACGGTAATTGCCTCGAGTCGACCTTCTTCAATGGACTGCAATGTAATGTCTCGCCCACCTGCTGGCTTGGGCCTACCATGCCTATCTGCACAAGAATTCCTCACTGGCACCGAAACACTCGATGATCATGTCAACCGCAGCTGAAAGGAAAGAGGTAGTCTCCGCGGAGATGAATTGCTCAGCAAGTCGAACTTGTACTCAGGAGAGGCAAATTCTACTGAAGATGAATGCCCGCGGTCTACCATACAATGGCGATTGAATAACAAGCAAACCCGCCCACCAACCATCGGACTCTAGATCATTCGAGCGACCTTGTCGCAGCAAGCAAGAGGCTTACTCGGTATAATTTCTATTTGTCTGGGGGCCGGCAAAGGTTGGCATTCCAGATCCTCCTGCAGGGGCTGCATCGCGCTAGGTGAGGCACGCACACCCCTTGATTCGATCAACGCATGGAATGTTGAGGCATTTAAGCTGCTGTTGATAAATAACAAAAAGTAACAGAGAGCGAGCGAAGATTTCCTCCGGCCTTGGTCTCGCGCAATTGATCCAGGACGAAGTCTTAGGGCTTAGGGCTTGAACTTGTCCGGGCGGGTATCATCCTCTCCAGCTGTATATCAATCACATCGCCATAAACCCATATACCGGTATATATAATAGACATGCTCATCTTCCACTAACAAGACAGATTACTCCCCATCCCAATCCCCCTCATCCCCCCAAAACCCCCTCAAATCCTCCCCCCTCCACGCCGTAGCCCACCCGGTCTCCCTCTCAATCCTCTCCAACGTCTCCAAAATAGCCTCATGCTCCGAGTAGTGCGACATGACCTTCCCCGCAATCCACAGCGGCTGCAGCGCATTCGTCCAGCACCCATGGTGCGCATTCGACGCCGAAATGCCACAGATCTGGCGCGCGTGCCAGAGGACGGATCGCGGGCGCGGCCGCGCAAGAGCGAGCTCGAGGGTTTTTGGTTTGTGTTGCAGTAACAGCAATGCGCACGTGTGGTACAGCTGGTTTCCGGAGATTGCGGCGCCGTTGGCGTAGAGGACTGTTGGGAAGGGACGCTCAGTGAACCCGCCCCCGGACCGGGGTGCGGATGAGCTGGAGGATGTGGGCATATTGAAGATGGATTTCATTTGGCTAGGGCGGTGGGCGTACCATGTTTCCACGGAGGTGAAGAGGTGCGTCCACCGGGTTATGTAGGTGTCGCTGCTCTCGGAGGGACTGCCGGGGTATGAGGGAGACGAAGGGGAGGAGGAGGCCGGGGCGGTGCGGCGGAAGAGCACGCGCAGGGTTTGGGCGCAGAGGTAGACGGTGTAGTTTGCGTAGGTGTCGTGGTTGGAGGCGAGGAAGAGGGCTGTTGCGTCGGTGGGGGTCATGTCTGGGGGGATCCAGTGATAAACTGGGATGATGGTTTCTTCTTCGGAGATGAGGCCGCCGCAGACGTCTGTATATCATACCTTTAGTTCATGATTACATGTAGAGAGACCAGAGACCGGGAGGGGTGGGATACCCATTCGCGCAAAGCACCAGAACAACGCCTGCTCTTCATTCCCCGAGAACCCGTTTATCCCGGCGGCTTGGATGAGATATGCGCAGCCGTCGAGGTGGCGGCGCCATTCTTTGGGGTTGCCTGGTTTCGTCAATACCTATCATGGATGTATATATCTGATCGTGACTGGCATACAGCTCAGCATCTCCAGCACACAAAGAATAACGCACGAGGCAATGACGGGCGTCGACTTGCTTTCCAGCTCTGGGAGGAGCAAGTGGATGGCTTCTTGGTACAGCGACAGACTCTCCGACTGCGAGTGCTCGTTCTGCTTGCGCTCCATCTGCCGCGCTGAGAGGGCGAGGATGGAGTAGCGGAGATGGGGAGCCGACTTGGCCATCTGGGGGAATGTCGAGGCGAAGTGGCGGTGGTTGTCGAACATGTCGAGCTAAGTAGTCAGGATATATTTATTATGGCAATAGAATAGGTCAGACTATACCCAGAGACATATTTCATTCAGGTAGTTCTGCCAAAGTATATTTTCCCTGTCTGGAGATACCTCGAACCGCCCTGGCCTGCGCGACTCGCTCCGTCGATCTGGTGCAGTTTCGACGCCTGGTGTAGGAGAGCCTGTTCGACTTGGTATATCTGGACGCGCTGTCCAGAGCTGGCGGTTCCGAAGTGCTGTATGGAGAGCCTCGTATGCTGAGCCAGGGAGGAAGACGTCATTTGCTGGGTTGTCTAGATCGGAGAAGACGCTGGAGTCGAGGAGGGGCGGCGTCATTCCTTGATAGGGATTTGAGAGGTTGTGCAACGCGTTGAGTTCATCGACTATAAACTCTGGCGAGGAGATGTACGATTGACTGAGGTCGTTGGTGGTGAATTGGGTGGTGGATGGAGACGTTAGGGCTTCGACCACGTCCATGTCCATATGCTCTGGCTGGGGTATATGAGTTGGAGATGGTGATAATGCTGGTACTGCCTCTGTAGCTGGCAAGGGAGCCTGCTCTGGCTCTGGCTCTGGCTCTCTAGCTGTTGTCTCCTTCTCTGTGCTAACGTTCTTGCCATCCTTGCGACGGGAAGGCTCAACAGTCAAAATCTATTAGAGTCAGCGCCATCCGCAACTTTCTGAACGCAACATACCTTGAACTTCTCCTTCCGCCTCGACGGTCGACTAACGGCCTGAGACATGGACGGATGCCCAGGCTCCAGCACCTTGATGTTGGCATCTCGAAAAGCCCCTAGAACCCGCCACTGACACCGGTCTCCCCGCCGTTTACACCCCGTACAAGTCGGTTTGACCTCGTCGCCTATCACTGGTCATCAGCACACTACTATCTATATTATCCGTGGCATACATTTTCTCCGCCGCCGACTGCAATTCAGACAACCGGTACGTGTTCGTTTGCGCGGTACAGGCCGAGATTGTTCCGCCTCTGCAGGGTTCATGATAGTGACATTCATAAATTAAAACACAACAATAACGGGATATCAATATCATCAACCCAAAAACACGGGGTAAACACTTTCTTAAGCAGGGAAAGAAAAGCACTACGTCAATCGAAATTGCCCGATCAGGAGAGCCCAAGCGCAGCTGGCATGTGGAGAATGGGGTCGGGCAAAGTCCGAGCCACCAACAAGATCTGGAGAAGTATGCAGATTTACCCATTTAGCCTGTTTGCCTGGTGATTCCTTATCCGGGGGAAACAGCTACTCCACATGCTGCACCTCCGCATCCCCCGTCTTCTCCTGCAGTCTGTGCTCAGTGTCGCCTGCGACGCCCATCGAAGTGTCCCAGTGTAGCCGGACTTTCTCGCCGGTGAAAAGGCGGTCGATCTGCTCGAGCGTGAGGTTTCGCGTCTCCGGGTAGAAGAAGAAGATCAGGGGGAGGAAGCAGAAGTTGAAGACGGCGAAGTAGATGTACGTGCGGTAGCCGATGTTGGAGATGCTGACCGGGGTGATCTCGACTACGAGGAAGGTGAAGATCCCTATTTACTGATTAGTGAAAATATTATTTGGAAGGTATGGTCGATCGTACAGTTTGTTGCTGTCGCCAATGCAGCGGTGTGAGTTCGGGTCGCTAAGGGGGCGTACTCGGCTGGTACTAAGTAGGGTTAGCATCAACTCTCTATACAAAAAAGGTGAACTTACGCAGCCACGGAACAGCAAGCAAGCCAACTCCAAAGAAGAAGTTGAACAGGAACAGCATGACCGTGGCCACAATACCGGCCGCGTGTCCGCCATCATACACCGTCCCAGCCAGAATAGCCATACAAGCACACTGCCCACCCGCAGCAAAGAGCATGAGCTTGCGACGTCCAAGTCTACCCCCGGCATTAGCTTAGTTCCATTTAACCAAACCCTATTGAAAGAGGTAAATACCGATCAATCACCCAAACCGGCACAAACGTCGAAACAAAGTACGCAACCCCATTAAACCCCGCCATCAGCAGCGCCAGATTATGCGACATGCCAACCGACTGCTCGAAGATCACGGTGTTGTAATACGTAATCAGATTCACGCCGGACAGCTGCTGCATCATCTGGCCGCCCATGGCCAGCAGCGTGCGGTGCCGGATCCGCTGGGGCCCGTCCTGCAGCAGCATCTTGAACGAGCCGGCTTCTGTTGCCTGCCGCTCTTCGGCGACCGTGCGGCTGATCGAGGTGATTTCGAGGTTGATGGCGGGGTCGTCTGGGGTTATTAGGCGGGCGTTGGGCTGCACGGACCAGAGGACTTGTCGGGCTTCGGTGTGGCGGTCGTGGGCGATGAGCTGGGGGTGTTAGGAGGGCTACGCATCTTATGGATAGTTGGGGCGGAGGCTACTCACCCATCGAGGCGACTCCGGGAGGACGAGGACGCCGAGGAAGGTGACGATTGCGAAGAGGATCTGCAGGGCGAGGGGGAAGCGGAATTGGGATTCGTTGCTCACGTAGCTCATGCCGTAGTCTGTATTCATGGAGACTTAGCATAAGGTAGTCCAGCTCAGGAAGGGGTCTTTACTGACCAACCCAATACGCCGTCATCACGCCGAAGATATTGATAGTCAGCTCGATGGCAAGCTGCACGGATTAGCACGAGCATAAACAACCAAAAGGTAAACCCACCCCCTTCCCTCGACTCGAGGCTTTGCTCAGCTCCGAATGCCACACCGCTGCATCCGTCAGTATAGACCAGGTCAGGTGGAAGAGACGTACGGATGGTACTCGTGTTAAGACCATTCCCAACACCAGCAACAATCCGCCCGACAATCATCTGCGGGATACCATACGACGTGGCCTGCAGCGCCGCTCCAATCGACAGAATCACCGAGCCAGCCATGATACACCACCGACGACCGAGGCGCTCGCCAAAGAGCAGCGAGAGGATCGCGCCGAAGAAGCAGCCCTAAACGGTGAGCAGTTGTCTTGATAGTCGGGAATAGTACGAACAATCTCATAAATAGCGACCCTAACATATCCAATTAGCTATGCCCTAACCGGCCCGCGCTCTATGTAGGAATCGGCAGGAGACTCACACAGTCCCCTGCAACGACGAATTCCCATGTCCTCCCTCAGTGGTATCAATCTCAGGGAACGTCCGAACAAAGGCATCGCCGGTTAGCAGACCCGACATGACACCCTGGTCATATCCGAATCTACATCATTAGCACCATCCCACCTTCAGTTTAGACGGGTACTGTATACTCACAGCAAGAAACCGCTACCGGCCGTAGCCGTGATAGCCAAGCTCAGCGTCTTCCCAACGAGAAGCGGCATTTTGATAGTATTTGCAATAAATTGAGAAAGAAACCCTAAGAATCGAGCTATCTAGCCAGGAAATAAGCCTTATATACAGAACCGGGCCGGGAAAAGCTCGGGACAGCTCGAGCTGGAGACGGTGTCATACTACGCGGAACAGCGACCCACGGGGTGACGGCGTGGCGTCGGTCGTTGCGGGATATCTGATCCTGGGGTTGCACTGGCCTCGATGGAGTCAAGCCGAGACCTGGATTTAGATTTAGCTGGGCTTGACGAGCTTGAATACTGGTAAGATGCTTGTACCGTACACCACCCTCGAACTGTCCATCTACAATCCTAAATGCACTGCAAAGTCCACGATACAGAATAAATCGTTGAATCCCATCCTGTTTACCCCAATTTTCGCTCTGTTTCATCATCTGAACCCGGTTCCTCCAAGTTCTTGCATCGTTCAGCCAAGTGGATCCCCCCGGACAACCCCCGACCCCGGATCCTCCAACTTTTCCTACTCGGGGAATGTTAAGCACTCGGATATGCTAACAGGTCACTTGCCTAACCCAAAATGCCTTGCTCCAATTCGTTTCCCTGTGCTGCAGGTATTCATCAGTTGGGTGTTGCGAGGTCGCCTAGGGCGATTGTGGTGGTTAGGGCTAGGCGACCTTAGAGCCAGCCTCCACTCTTCAGGATTCGAACGGGCGGTAATTTGGATACACGAAGACCAAATTAGTGTATCTGCGAGGTAGTTGAGGTGATTTTAAAGGAAATCGGTTTTATTGACACCGACCCCATGCTCTGTGGGAGCTAGTGGCCTGTTGGCATTGTGACACGGTCGCCCCGGGCACCACTGAGGCCGGGGAAGCCCCGTGTCCAGGGCCCACCTCCCCCAACAAGCAGCATTAAGCACCCCAGCCCTCGGGATGCCGGGAGACTTGCTGCGAATCGGCTCTGCTGCAAGCCAACATACTGCATCGGTAAAGTTTGACGACCGGGCGACAACTAATATCTCCATGTTAGGAGATTCGATGCCTCTGAACAGCACATGCAACATGTCTCCATATTCCCAGTAATCTCCAGTTTGCTCCCCTATAAATCAAACAACCCCTCCCCCTCTAACCCCCAATCCCAATCCCAATCCTAACCCTAAGCATACCTAACAAACCCAACCAAAATGTCCCCAACCGTCCTCCCCTCCACAGCCCCAATCCCCCCAAACCCCCTCTTCACCCTAACCACCCGCACAATCGCCATAACCGGCGGCGGCCGCGGCCTCGGCATCGTGCTAACAAGCGCCATCCTCGAAGCCGGCGCCGACGTCGCCGTCCTCGACCTCCTCCCGACCCCATCCCCCGAAGAATGGGCCTGTGTCCAGAAACTCGCGTCGTCACAAGGCCTGCAGGCGTCGTACACCCAGTGCGATGTGACGGATGAAGATGCGGTGCAGACGGCGCTGGAGAGTATTGCGGCTGTTGGGATGCAGCGCGGGATGCCGCTAAGGGGGCTGGTTACGTGCGCGGGTATTCAGCAGATGGTGCAGGCTTTGGAGTATCCGGTTGAGATGTGGAGGAGGATGTTGGATGTTAAGTATGCTTCTTTTCTTCCCTCTTTTCTCCAGGGAGGTCTTTGGGGTGTTTGCGTGTTTGCGTGTTTGGCTGTTGGCTAATGGTGCTGCGTAGTGTGGTTGGGACGTTCATCCCTGCGAAGCACTGCGCGCGGATCTTCAAGGAGCAGGGGAGTGGCGGGAGCATTGTCATGATTGCGTCGATGTCGGGGCAGATTGCGAATCGGGTATGTTACCCTACCTTTCAAACACCGGGCTATCACGAGACATCAGCGAGCTAATCAGCTACCCAAAGGGCCTCACATGCACCGCCTACAACTCCTCCAAAGCCGCCGTGCACCAGATGTGCCGCTCCGTCGCGCAGGAATGGGGGCAGTATGGGATCCGAGTGAACACGTTGTCTGCGGGTGTATGTCCACCCACCTACGCTTTATCTGTTAGGCACTTACTGATGACCGCAGTACATCCGCACGGCCATGACGGACGCGCTGCTCGTCGCCAAGCCCGAGGTCGAGGAGACGTGGATGCGCGGTGCGCTGCTCGGCCGGCTCGGGGTGCCGGAGGACTTCAAGGCGCCGAGTGTGTACATGCTGGCTGATGGGAGTGGGTTCATGACGGGGGCGGATCTGAGGGTTGATGGGGGGCATTGTGCTTCTGCATAGAAGATTGATATGAGTATGATTATAGAATTGATAGACACTTTGCATTGCGCTGCTTTATTATGGTATGTGTAAATGAGTGGTCGTCTAGGAGTGTCGTATATCGTGTACATTATCTTAGTGTGAGTGGTTTCTTCCACATGGAGGATTTCTTCGAATGTTCGAAGACCGGTATAGTGTTTTGCGAGATGAATGCAATCCGATAGTTCAGATGCAGTGAAGCTCTCCACCTTCGTGGGTGTGGCAGTTCTATCAACATCAGTCCACAAGCCTTGTCATACAACGGCACGTCACTCACCTCAGGAATCTCCTCCTCAGCCGTCTCATCCTGGTCATCCTGGACAGGTTCTTCAGTCGTTTCATCCCCCTCCTCCTCTTCGTCCTCACCACCAACACACCCAACCCCCGGAACCGCAACATCATACGCATAAGCCTCCAGCGCAAAATACTGCAGCGTCTCCGAGTCATGCACAGCCTCAGTCCCGTTCCCCGCCGCCAGCTCCAAAACACCCTCGTACCCATCGGCGTAGTGCTCAACGAGCCCCTGCCCAATTGCCGGCATGTGGTACAACCGGTGCAGCAAGTCCCCCGCCCAAAACGTATTGGTCTCGGACTGGGAAACGGTATACCCCTGCGAACACATCGTGCTCAGGGGCCGACGGCTCGTGTAGCTCAGTTCGCAGATGACGGTCTCGTCTGTGGCGTTTTCGCCGCGCCAGTGGCCGGCCCAGCCTGTGCGTGTTAAACTGGGAACTTAAGAGGCTCGGGCTTCGGTTGAGAAGGGAAGGGGCTTACCGTCAAGACCGCAGTTCCCATCGGGGTTATCGCAGCGAAAGAGAATGGTCTCTGGGTTTCCGTTGATGATGATGTCGTATGCTCCGATTGCGGTGAGAGACGGTCTATCGCCAAAGTACTTGCGGTAGATGGCGCTCTCGTTGCCCCAGCGAAGGATGTGATCTTTGGCGTGCGAGACCAGGGTCACGGTCTCTTGGAGGGCCGTGGCGAGCTGGCGCTGCTCGGTGGCGTTGCAGCTGTGGTGGATGGGGAAAGGGGACTTGACTGGGTCTTCCAGGGGCAGGGGGGTCTGCTTAGCGGGGAGAGCCGTGACGGGGCTTGAGGCGCAAAGGGCCAGGGCGAGGGCGAGGAACTGCATGTTGATATGAGAGGGTTTGTTGACTTTTCTCTGGATCGATCGGCGCTGTCAGTCTGCAGGTGCAGGCATATGCAGGTCGCCATCTGGCCTGTATTTATACCTTTCTCTCGGCCATGATCGAGTACCCTGGGATCACCAAGAGATGGCACTTCTTGGAATCCTCGCCTCACCCGATGTCTTTTCCGCATTTCTGTATGGCATCATTGCATCCCACGTCTTGCCAAGCAGCCAAGCCCGCGAGGGGACCCTGGGGACGACGGGCTAAACTGCAAGGAAGAGGCAGCCCGGCACTTTTCTCCACCGCGAGAAGGTTGGGTCTGTCGCGGCCCTGCTGTTGGCACTTGGCGCGGTCGAGTCCCTTGGCGGAGCGCTTGGCGGGTGTACCTTGGTGGTTAGCAGGATGGGAAATGCAACCCTCATGAGAGGGTCGGAAGATTTTTCGATGCTGTCCATTTCGTGCTCTCGCCGCTGCGATACCTTGTGGGCGAGTCGGTGATAAATAGCTTGAGTTGTTCGTGCTGCTGTGTCAAAGCTCGCTCAAGCTCAAGCCCAGACGTCGGTTCGTGGACTCCCTTGTGCCTCACATAGTCTGCGCTATGAAAATCGTTCTTCCCGTTTTGGCCGCTGTCGGTTTTGCCCGGGCGGTTTCTATCACCGGTTGTCATAAGCATGGTGATGACGTATATTGTTTGACTGAAGACGGCGGCGAAGTTCAGGTGCTTTTGGACAACACCCCAGCTGGAGACCCGCCTTCAGAATATACAGACTGTCACCAGCATGGAAGCACATGGTGAGCGTCTCGCCCAGCCTTTGTTTCTTCGGCCGCTGACCGAGTAGGTACTGCGTCGATGCGGACGGGGCCGATGTCGAGATCCTAGGAGAAATCACCAGCTCTTCCACTACCAACAGCACCAGCGAAGAGTCCACGGACACTGATTCGACGGAAGAGAGCACAGAGGGAGAAAACTGCCATTTCCACGCAGGCGTAGAGTGAGTGCCTCGCATCTTCCTACCTACCGATACTGACCAGGCAGACACTGTCTCTCACCCGGGGAATCAGAAAGCGGCGGCAGCACCGGCGGGTCATCCAGCGGCAGCAGCAGCAGCGGATCTTCCTGCGGCGTCCAAACTCGGGATTATGATATGCCCCTGCGTATCGGGACGCTCTTCGTCGTCCTCGTCACCAGCTCCATCGGCGTCTTCCTTCCGATGGGTCTCGTGAAACTCCCGTCCGCGACGATCAACGCCTGGGCGTCGACCATCATCAAGCAATTCGGTACGGGCGTCATCCTCTCGACCGCATTCGTCCATGTAAGTTCCACATCGCCCGTATAGTCCCGCCCAAACTGACCATCCAGCTCTACACGCACGCAGATCTCATGTTCGGCAACGAGTGCCTCGGCGGGCTCGAATACGAAGCCACGACATCGGCCGTCGTAATGGCCGGTATCTTCCTCTCCTTCCTGACCGAATACCTCGGCCACCGCTTCATCCTCGCTCGCTCGGCCCGCTCAGCAGCCGCCCCTCTACCCACCGACAACACCTCAAACGTCTCCTCCAAATCCGCAGCCGAAGCAGAAGCCGAAGCACCACACCTGCAACCCCACCAACACACCCTCGCAGCCCTGGGCCACCACCACGGCGGCGACCCCACAAACCCCAACACCAAGCTCTCCGTGCTGGTCATGGAAGCCGGCGTGATCTTCCACAGCATCCTAATCGGCGTGACCCTCGTCGTGGCCGGCGACTCCTTCTACAAGACGCTCCTGGTCGTGATCGTCTTCCACCAGTTCTTCGAGGGGCTGGCGCTCGGCGCGCGGATCGCGCTGCTTCCCGGCCGCACGTTCCCCAGCAAGGCGATCATGGGCGCAGTGTTTGCGCTCATCACGCCGATCGGGATGGCGATTGGGATGGGCGTCATCCACTCGTTCAACGGGCAGGACCGGGAGACGCTCATTGCGCTGGGGACGCTGGACGCGCTTTCCGCTGGGATCCTGGTGTGGGTTGGTGTTGTGGATATGTGGGCGCGCGATTGGGTTATTGAGGGGGGCGAGATGATGAATGCGTCGGTTGGGCATGTTGCTGCGGGTGGGATCTCGCTGGTTGCTGGGATGGTTTTGATGGGTGTGCTAGGGAAGTGGGCGTGAATGTGGATGGTGGGCTTGTTTGTAAATAGATTGTGATGGAATTCGCGAGCACGACGCGTTGGCTTGATCGGTACTGTACCCCTTGCATGCTCGGCTGGGGTCATCAAAACTATTCCGGGTTGGGAGTTGGGAGCTGGTTCGATAGCTGGAATGAAATCTGTACATACTATCGTCGAGTAAGCAGTCGTTCGTTGTGACGAAGCCTTCCACTTACAGGTAACGTCGCTTAGATAAACGCTTGGGTGTAATAGAAACGTAAGGTCTTTATAGCGCGTGATTTTGGACTTGCCGTGAAGTTAACTTCTGTTGGTGCAATTGAAGTTGGTGTTGCTGTGCGCGGTCTGGGGGAAATATATAACGACCAACGTATTAGCGAGAGGCCCATACGGGAGCGCGAATATGACCAGAGCGGTATAAAATGAATTTTAAATAAGATTGAGTACTGGTTTGATCCCCGAAGCTGCTTGTTGCATAAGGCTGAGACAACCTTGGAAGCGATGAATTGGAGAAAGATGGTGGTTCGAAGAGCCGATGAGGGGCGCGGAGATGTTCACGCTACTGCAATCCAACAATTGTTGAATGTATTAAAATTTGGGAAGGTGCTCTAACAACCAATCCTCGATGGTCTAACGGTCATGATTTCCGCTTGTCACTTCTCGCAAGAACAAGCGCGGGAGACCTGGGTTCGACTCCCAGTCGGGGAGATGTCTTTTTTTCTTTTCCCTTCTACTTTTGCCGTGCGTTGTTCCTCCCTTTATTTCTTTCTCTCTTAGTTAAACAGCTCTGGCATTACATAGGAGCTTCTAAGTTTTCATGCATTCCCACCAGACCCCGTGTCGAATCCCTCCTCAATGCGAGCTTAGCGGCGTCCCCCTTCCCTAGTCTACACCTTGATCCCGCATCTTAAGCCGCAGAACTTCATGGGAATGCTCACAGCAGGACATGCACAAGCGACGCCTAAGACGCCAGGACCGACCATTGTCTTTACTGGTCAGGGTGGTGGTCAAAGTTGGCGCCCACCCTGCATTCTTCACGGACGACTACCGCCCCGTGGGCAAGAATGTCTGCGCTTTGAACACTTACCATCGTGCAAAACGGCGGTAGGGAATCAGTATACTGATATTAGCAATAGCCGGAATCTTTGTCTGGCTATCGAGTTTCAGACTACTTAGACGAAGATGCATTTCAACCGGCAATCCGAAGAGGGTCTCTTACATTCCCAAAGACTCGGTGTCCATTCTTTTTCTCTGCGATGCAGATCTTGGGAGATTTTTTGGATCTAAACGTGGTGCCAGGTGGTGTTTTGCGTTTTCTTTCGCGACGTTTCCTGCACGTCATGATACAAAGCTTAACCTTACCAAAGTTACCTCACTTCTGTCAAGAATGACGGCTCCTACGGGCAATATAGCCTCACCTAGCCCCATCTATTAGTACGACTATGGCCAATAGCAAAGCAAACAAACCGGCTGGAAGCGACGCATCCCATCCCTTTCATACCTCCACCCCGGCCGATAGTCGCAGCTTTCTAGCCGATCTCACACATCCAACCAGCCGCATCCCGCAGTACACCCTGCACCTGGAGAGGAAAAGAGTAATTCCTCAAAGACTTCCAGCATGCCCTCGCCGGCCAATCCCCAAACAAATGGCTCCTCCTCACAAACATCACACCCTCAATCTCCAACGCCGAGTTCCTCGAAGTCGAAGAAGGCCCGCTTGCGAGAGTCTCATCTTACGACAAGAACCTGCAGCTCGTGCTACTACGGACGGATGTTTCAAGGGCTCATGGGGCCGCAGTGCATACATTTAATCGGCTTGGAGATTAGGGAACGCTATGTGTCCACGGGGGGTCGCAGAATCCCCTAGAACCTCTTGCTCATCCCAATTATTCAGCCGGATCTCTCCCCCGCTAGCGCCCTCACGGGTGCCGGGCTATAAGTAGCCGTCTTATCCGCCATTTCTCCTCTCCTCTCCTTCCCTTCATCATCACTCATCGCAATTTTTGGCCCATATCTGACACTATCCTAGCATAGTATCATAGCAAATACACTCAAGCCAGCGTGGTGCAATGGTAGCATACCTCTGTTAAACAAAGGTCCATGAACATTGAAAGTGGACGCAGAGGAGATACAGGTTCGAGTCCTGGAGCTGGTGTACCCTTCCTCCATTCTCTTTCTCTCCTTGTATTTGTAATGTTGTATGGTGAAGAGCCTCAGTAGATAGGTATCACAGCCAGCGTGGTGGAACGGCAACACGCCTCCGTTAAGGAGTGAGATTCCAGGTTCGACTCCTGGCGCTGGTGCTCATTCCCATCTACTGGGTTCTTTGCTTGCATTCCCTTGTAACTCGTTCTATTCCGAGAATCTTGCCACTGGGTTGACTCATGGAGAAGCTTCTACCCACCGGAAATGAAATCCGCCGGCCGGGTCCCAGTTCCTGGCGGAAGTCAATCCCGACGACGTACTGTACTCCGTAGTGGTAAGTGAACCGCGGTTCAATTTCTCAGGGTAAGTCAAGGTAGCTCTAGATACAAAATAATGTTTGTTTGGGGATACATGCAGCAATAATTTGGCCCCGTCCATATATTGCAGGGTCTCTCGCGTTCGACGCTGATAGTCCCCAGGACAAGGATGTGCTGCTGTATCGAGATCGAGATCCGATAATGCATGAATTATGGATGCACAGGACTGGTCGCTCTTTTGGGTTAAGACTGCCAGCTGGGGGCTCGGCCGGGGCCACCACGTGCCCTCCACTTTAGTTGCAGGCGCAGACGGTGGGTCAGCCCTATTTACTCAATGTATGTAGGTTATCATGGGCGGAACAGGCCTATGGCTCTTCATAGGAGTTCTACCATCATTTTCGACGACGCAGAGTCTTACCGGTGGCCTTTATGGATTTATCCAGCATAGCCCTGGATGTCGGAGTGTCTGAGAAAAGATACTTTGCAATCTCGGACGTCTGTTGCTTCGATCGTCGGTATTCGCCATTAAGCAGAGGGTGAAAGCAATCATTATGATCCAGGGCTCAAGTGTTTGTAATTAGTGTATCAAGCTTAAGAAAGTAGTCCGAAGATTGTGCTTGCAGACGGTGACCTCATGGCCGGAGCCTTCGTCGGTCGTATCGGCCATATCGGCCACACCGGCCGCCACAGCATTCCTGGCCGAGGTCGGTGCACCAGAGACCAGATATAAAATACCTACTCGACCCTGCAGCTCAATTCTTCTACTCCCAAATCAAACTACGCTTTCGTTCATCTACATCTATATCTTGTTCTCCGGTCCATCGTTTTCCAAGGCAAATATGGCCCCCCTTAAGATCCTCATTACTGGCGCCGGAATCGCCGGTACGGCACTCGCCTTCTGGCTCGCGAAGCTCGGTCACGATGTCACCGTCATCGAACGGGCTGTTGAGCTACGGACAAGCGGACTCCAACTTGACCTCCGTGGGCCCGGCATCCAAGTCCTGCGCCGGATGGGACTCGAAGGAGCATTCCGGAGACATGCTGTCGCTGAGGAAGGGCTTCGGCTTGTTGATGGGAAAGGCAAGAGCTGGGGGTATTTCGGAGCGAATCGATCCGGCAAGGGGGTGCAGAGTCTCACGACGGATTGGGAGATTATGAGGGGGGATTTGTGTAAGATGTTTGTTGATGCTTGTGGGGACCGGGTGAAGTTTGGCTTTGGGGTACATGTTGTCGGGGTCAGGGAAGTGGATGGTGGTGTGGAGGTTGAGTTTTCCAATGGGAAGACGGACCGCTTTGACCTTGTGGTTGGTGCTGATGGATTATGGTCCAAGACGAGAAGGATGATGCTTGCTGCTGATGGCGACGAGAACCCCGGATACCATTCCATCGGCGTGTTCGCTGGATACTGCACCATTTCCTCGGAGATCGAAGACGGCGAGCAGTACGACGCTACTGGGTTTATCACGACCGGAAACCGCGGTATCATGATACGGCGGCATGACCCCCACAAGATCCAAGCATACGTGATGTGTGATTCGCGTGCATCCGAGCGGCTGATCAAGTCGAAAAGGGGCGACATAGAAGAGGAAAAGAGGGCTCTAGCAGATGTCTTCCTGGGCGCGGGCTGGAAGTCTGAACAGATACTCCACGGTCTTGTCGGATCAGACGACTTTTATTGCGAGCGGATGGGGGTCATCAAACTGAACGAGTGGTCTCGCGGTCGCATTGCGCTGGTTGGTGATGCAGCGTACTGTCCATCGGCCATGACCGGTATGGGAACCACATGCGGTATTGTCGGAGCGTATATCCTTGCCGGGGAGATTGACAAGCACTGCCGAACAAGTGCCGGCAAAGAAACGATCAAGGATGCACTTGCGGCGTATGAGCAAAGGTTTAGACCTTACATGGATCAAGTCCAGAAAGGACTGACGGACACTGATCACTACATGGACAAACTTCCCTCGTCGCCCTTTGGAATCGGCGTTTTATATTTTGTCTTCTGGATTGCGTCGGTGCTGAGGTTGGATATCATTGCTCAATGGATGTTGCGTGAGAAGGCCGATGGGTGGGAGCTTCCTGAGTATCCTGATATGCATGCCTGAGCAAGAATTTTCAGCGTGGGTGTAATTTTTTGTTTAATTGTTAAATCAATTCCACTGCAATTGAGTTAGGTTGGCATCGGCCATTGAAGCAGCAAGTCTGAACCGGTAAAATTAAGGTCGCAGAGCCATTCGAAATCTGAATCGAGGCTGGGCGCTATCTCTTGCGGGGAGACACCGTCTGTCCACGGCGGAAGTTGTGGATTTACTGCGTCAGCGGTCAAGTTGTCGGCCCGTGCCTGAAGTATCTCACGGCATTTAGTAAGGCCCTCGTGCATAGCTTTCTCAACAGCCTCTTCAGAAGGTTCGTCATTAAGCCGAGCTTCCGCCTGGGCTAGCATCATACTAAGGCACACATAGGTCTTTACATTCATGTCTCCATGCACGACCCTATCTTTCGCGTACTGCACTACGCGGCGCGCATCCTGCAGTAGAGGCTCTTGCCGAGCCCGATTCCGCCTTTTCGCGAAGATAGAAGCGTCTGCTTCGGTATCGGGACTCAGTTCAAGGAATATGACCAAGGCACCCCGGGTAATAAGATCGCGAAACATGCCTCCTCCGGTGACGAGAACCCGGCCGTAAATGTTGTCTTCGAGAAGAGAGACCAAGTCAAGCGCGGCTTCCAAGCAGGCATGTCGCGAGTGGCTATATAGTGGGTTTGGCTTGGCTCGGATGGCGTACCTGTAGTGGAGGCTCAACGGGAAGCGACGGAGGAGGTGACTGCAGAAGCTGGACGCAAAGCCGGTTGTGGAAGTGCACTGGGCGATAGCACGAACTGCCTCAGAGCAAGCCGATGCCAGCTGGTTTCCGAGTTCGAGAACTTGGTCGTACGCCGGTTCGTCTTGCATGCTGTTGATCACCCTCGTTGCGCGTATCCGGAGGGAAAGCGACTTGGCAAGAACGGCCTGGAAGTTAGTATGGCTGCGGTCATCCACCTCCGAAGGCGGCTTGGTGTTGAAGTCTTCATTCGTAACCATCGGTGGCATGCCCGCGTCGATCGCTGCGTGCAGGTTCATCTCAATCATCGTGTACCACAGCCGTCTTCTCAGATTTTTCTCCCCGGTGTCCATCTGGCCGAGTAGGTCCGGATCTTGATGTAGCCCCATCTGCATCGCCATCCTCAATAGAGAGCCAGCTGAGATCCATACCAGGTCGGCGCCAACTTGGTTGATCTGACGAGAGAGTAACAAGAGACAATGTACCTGGAGGGCCCTTAGCGACAGTCGGTCCTTCTCTAGCGGCGCAGAGAGCCACGCCTGGGCGATATCAATCGATGTTCGAGCTTTTGCTGCCATCTCGCTGCGCACACTAGCTTCGTCATGCAACGGGCCCGTGACAGTCACGACGAGAAGGATCACCAGCAGAAATGAGCGGTCCGCAGATTCAGCACTCTCCGACGATGCCATATACTCTGCCATAAACGAAGAATAGTCCAGGATCCCATAGCAAGATTCAAACGTGGTGAAGTAGATCTGAATCAATGCATCTATAAGGTCGCGGCTCGGCAGTGAGTTATGGAGATCAGCAGGAAGAGCTCTCCGACTGGGGCGATGCCGCTTGATCGTCTGACTCAAACGCTTGCACTCGGAAACTGTGTCGGCCACCTCATCGCTGGGCGCGCCATTCGCAATTCTCGAGAACGCGTGAAAACATTCGTGGATAGGGTCGAGGGTCGACAACCCTTCCATCTTGAATCGACATTAGAGCCAGGTTGTTGATTGAAGCTTCAGACACATACCAGCGAGAACGTGTTCATCCAATGGCCATTTCCAAAAACGCGCGTCTTGGATATGGTGCCTCGTATCCCACCCGAACTAGCCGTAGAGTTCTGAGGCGTTATTTCTATAGCAGATGCTCGTGACTGATCATCGGTCTGTTCATTTGTTTCTCTCTCATTGTACTGCCTCGGTGATGGACGAATCTGCGTGGACCCGCGAGAATTGTCGTCATAGGCGCATGCCGCAGTGAGATCCAGCGCCCTGCACTGCGCGCAGGACGGTCTGGCCCGGTCGCACTTCACTTTGCGGCGGCGGCACTCAATGCAGGAATGAGCTGGGCGCCGGCGCTTCCGGGGTGGGTGTAGGTCTGTCATCTTTGCTGATGCCTTGTAAGCCTTGGGAAGATGGAGTTGGAGAGAGGTTGCGCAGAGAACAGCTCGGCCCGACTCGTCTGCCGGTCACCCCAGCTAGTTCGGTCACGTGACCTAGCTTCGTAGCTCACCCAAGCTTACCTCCAAACTCCACTTATAACTCTGGTTATAATCTAAATATAACACTACTAACACAAGGGCAAAGCCTTATACTACTTAAAAAGTAATATAAACACTAATAATCCTATTAAAACTCCATATTAAACTTTTTTTTAACTTTTTTTTGCCCCCCTTTACCTTTCTTACTAATAACACTTCCGCCCATTATACCGACTGTTAAATTAATAATAAAAACTACTTAAAAACTACTTTATAACCTATTTTTATAGCTAATCCAAGCCTAGGCTGTCTTTAAGAAATACACGCAAATCTTAGATAATAAAGTGGTCCTTCCTAAACTAAAGCTAAAGGTAAGTAAGGCTATTATTATTAAAAAATAAGAGCTAGAAGTATTTTTAAACTACTTTTTAACCCTTACTTTTTAACTTTTTTTAACCTTACATGCATCCCTGGGAAGTACTTTAAAATTAATTATTTATAAAATAATAAAATAGCCCACCTCTTTTTAGGGGAGCTTCGCTGCCGGGTTAAAGGCTGCCCTAATAAGGTAAGTCCCTCTAGGTGCCTGTAAAAAGTACTTTTTAACTAGTTTAAATAAAATTTAGCACTACTAACAGCCTCCGCGGCCACTATGCTAGTAAGTATTTTATTATTTGCCTTTTTGCCCGGGTTTCCAAAAATAAAAAGAATATTAAGGGCCGCCCGAAGGTTGGTAAGACCAAGAAGGCTAAGGGTAAATTTAGTTATTACTTATAAAAAGTACTTTCTAACTAGTTTTATAAATTTTTATTAGTTTATTATTAATAACTAAAAGGCACGCCAGGCCGCAAAGCCAGTCGTCTTGCCTTAACTTTTATTTAAGTAAAATAAAAATATAAGTAAGCTATATTCTCCTGCTAAAAGTACTTTTTAACTAGTTCTAGTATAACCCCACTACCATAAAAAAAATAATAAAAAAAAAGGGCTACAAGATTCCTTACAATACCTGCAAGTTAGAAAAGGTGCCAGCTAATAAGTTTTCCTACTTTATTAACTTTAAGAAGTACTTTCTAACTAGTTTTAAAATGCTGCTTGTAAAAGCAAATCAAGAATTATAACCACTTTAAGCTTTTTAAAAAGCCCAACGCTACCAGCCAGGATTCTAAAAATAAGAAGAAAAAGCAGGAAAAAAAAAAGAAGGCCACCAACACTGCTACTGCGGAAACTACTTCCTAAGTAGTTTTTTTTATGCCCCCCTTTATTTCTTTTTTTAATCTAGCAGGGCGCCTACGGGCATATTTTATGTTTTTTACCTTTTTTTTAATAAGGTGCATACGGCGTTAACTACTTTAAAAGTAGTTCTCTGGTTCCTAGTTTTTTTTTATATATAATAAGCCATAATTAAATACCCTAAACTGCAATAAACTTTACTTTCTTATAATTAAGTTTAAACTAGCTTTAATAGCTCCTAAACTAGTTCTATTTTTAGGTGTAGGCCTGTTAAAAACTAGTTATCTTTAAAAAAAGTAAAAAGGTAACTATTATTTTTCTAAATCTAAAGTACTTTTAATTAGGGCTAAACTAGTTTAGTTCAGGGTTATAAAAAAAATTAATAAAAGTAGGATTTAAATTAAGCACATAGCTCACTGTGCAAGATACCCCTGGACTATTAGGCTTAACTACTTTAAAAGTACTTTTAGTATTACTAAGTGGCTAAAAATTTTTAAAAAATCTATTTACTTGTTTTTAATTAAGAACTTGTTTTTAAATCTTTATTACTGTATTATGCTTACTAGGCTAAAAAATATATTCTAAGCTTACTTATCTTTTACTTATTTTATATATTCTGCCTAATAAAAGTAGTTTATTAGCAGCTTAAAGTAATTTGTTTCTTGTATGCACGCTGTGCTAAAGGTCTTGGTTAGTAAATATATATATCCCTGTAATATTTATACTTTAACCAGCTAGTATATTAAAACTTAATTATTATAGTATAAAACTATATTAACATGCCATTAAAGCCAAGCAAATAACAAAATTTTATTTTTAAACAAGTAACTAAAGTACTTTTAAGAATGTCTAAACTAATTCAAAACTAGTTTTAATTACCAGAATTATCAACCTCTTTTTTAATATATTTAATAACTTTGGTAAATATAGCAGGCCCCCTAGCTATCCTATCATAAAAATATTGCTTTAACTAGGCTAGCTTCTTAAGATTAATTTTAATTTTACCCCTAACTCTTAATCTTTGGCCCTTTACATGGGTGGTAGTGGGAGAGTCTTGAAGAACATTAAAAGATTTAAAATAATTAGTAAGTACTTAAAAACTAGTTTTCCGGTAAACTTACAATATTAATGCATGTTTTTAAATAGGCGTAGTAGTAAAAGCACTAAAATAATATTAGTACTAAAAAAATCTAGCCCTAGGGTAAAGCAGGCTCCATTAACTTACACAGCATGCTAATAGGCAGGTGTAGTAGGATTAGCCCTAAAAAACTATTAATACTAAAGTAGTTCTCCCCGCAAGTAAAGTAGTTTTTAGGGTATATTAGAACATATAAAGCACGCTATTTACAGGGTATGGCTAGAGTTACACTAGAGTATTATTAGCATAAAACTAGTTCTTATATAAAATAAAGTACTTTACCTTCTCACGCGGTGTAATTAAAACTAAAAGCCCCTGGCACGTATAAATCCAAAAAAACTTAACTTAAACAGGATTTTATTAAAACCGTTCCTTACCTCCTGCAGCTTTTCCTACTCCGCCACATTAAAAGCCTTGCGTTTCCAGCACACTAAAAAGGTTAAAAGTAGTTTTAAAGTAATTCCAAAGTAGTTTTAATATATATATAATTTTTTTGCATATACTTAAGGTATTATTTATGCATGTTATTCATGCGGTATTTATGCTAAGTTTTATAAAGGACTTTTACATAATATTAATCTATATTACGCTAATTAAGCTGCCGGGAGCTGCCTTAAAATTAGTAATTAAAAATAATTCTTATAGTGAATAAAGTAGTTCTAACCTTATAACTACACCAAGCAGTAACTCCTAAGTGCTTAAAAAGTAGGACTTATAGTGGCTTTACTTAACGGCATTAGTATTCTCCCGAATTTACTTATAATAATCAGGCAGAATTTAAGAACAGGCTTGGTTAAGACCAGCAGCAATAACTAAATAAGCTTTATATTTAGCTTAATTATAAACGGAGGTATTTTTATATGCTAATTAAAGTTAGAACTAGTTCCAAAGTACTTTAAAAAATAAAAAAACATACTTTAAAGTAGTTTGTAAAAATTAAAATAATTTTCTGGAGTCTTAGTAGTAAGCAAGCTTTTTATATAATAGCTAATAAACACATAATGCTCCTCCCAAGGGCAAAGCTTTTAAATAGTCCAAAAAAAGTAAACATAATATATAACAAGAATATTCTCCAACTGCCATGTTTAAACATAACTATAAGAATCTCTTTCCTGAAGGTATTAGCCCAATCCTAGAACTAGTTTAGCCTAAGGTAAAAGTAGTTTTATATAAAGCTTACTAGTCATTTACTTTGCACATATATCTGCCACAATACCCTTAATACCAACACCATAAAGGTAAAAAAACTAGCTAAAAGACCCCTGCACGGAAGCAATAAGGCTAAAAACCTCCCTAAAAAGTAAAAAATATCTATTTACAGTCTTAATATTAATAAAAACACGCAGTAATATAAGAACTAGAAGTAATTAGTAACTAGTTTTAAAAGAAAGGCAGGATATAAGTAAGTAAAGTACTTAAGAAGTACTTTTTAACTTACTTTTACCATGCTCTGGCAGGAATATGGCAAAAATAACCTTATTAAAGGCACCCTTAACACGCTTGTAGGACATATTAACTTTAAAAAAGTCTAGCAAGGCTAAAAGCTTGATTTACTTATTAAATGCGTAAATAACTATAATAATATTTTTATGGGTAACAAGCCTCTAGTAATAATACTTTTTAAGTAGTTAGTAACTAGTTTCCAGGGCATGGAATAAGCTAAATACCTTAAAGTCTAGCTTAACTAAAAGCTAGAATTATATGCCAGCTATTCCCCGGCCTTTAGGGTAAAGTAAAGCCCTTTCCTTTGTAATAATAGCAAAGAAACAATCTTAGTTTACAAAGCTATTATAAATCTAGGATAATGTTTAGCCATTATATTACTAATAAAAGTTTTAAAGGGCTGGACTTTTTAAAAATTAACCTAAAAGTAGTTTAGCACTAGATAAAACTACTTATAAAGTAGTTTACATACCTATTATAAGGTCGGGATCTTGCATCTTGCGGATAAGCTTAATAACCTTATTAAGAATAGCCTTTAGAGGTTAATTTAATAAAGGGGGAGGATAGGTATGCACGCCTTAAGAGACTACCATGGCAAAAGAACATCCTAACCAGTTTAAAAAAATAAAAATATTAAACATAACCTTATACTTAATTTTTTTAAGTTTCCCTCCCCCCTGTGGGTGGCTTTGGCCTAAATAAAGTAGTTAGTAAGTAGTTTCAAGGTTTTAAAAAAAAATACTTACAAAACTAGTTTTATTCCTAAAAAACTAGTTCCAATCCTACATACCACACTTCTTCTTTTAACTAGTAACAAGCTTAACCATGTTATATTTCTTAGAATTAGCTAGGGCTAGAGCCTTAAAGCAAGCCTAGAGTAGCTTAATACTAATACTTTAAGCCTGGTTAAATAAGCTAAACGTGAAATACTTATTAGGATTATATTAGTTATTATACAGGCATGCTATATAATAATAATACACGCTAAAAATGTCCTAAAGTAGTTAGGAACTAGTTTATACTCTGGAATTAGGGCTGCTTATTAATATAGCATGCTTTTATAAAACAGGCCTACAGGTAGGAATTGCCCGTGGGCATGCCTTTCCACCTTTAAAGCATTTTTAAGTTACTTAAAAAAGGCTAAATAGGCTTAGTTAGTAAAGTAGTTCCAAGATAACAAAACTAGTTTTAACTTATTTATATATAGCTTTAACCTTTAAAAAAGCTTTGCCTGCTGCAATCTCCCTGCGCTTGTTATATATTTTATTTAAAAAATCTTTTTTAACCTTTTAATAGGTAATATTTTGTAGTTTTAAATCTAGATACTTATAAACCTTAACCCCAGAGCAATTAAAGTGAAATTTACTATATATTTATTTAAGAAACTAGTTAAAAATCCACCTTGTACCTTTAACTTTTGCCTTGCAATATGCAAACTAAAGTAATTAGTAATTAGTTCTTAAAAAATATAAACTTATATACATCACACATTCTTTTTTAGGACTGTGCGCCTGTTATTTTATTTATATAAATAATATATGCATAGCCGTCAGGATTAATAGCAGGATACTCTAGTAAGTAGTTAATAAATTAAAAATAATAGGTTAAAACAGGGTATATCCAGCCAGTAGTTACTGGCATTAATACCAGCAGCTTTTAAAAAAGTAGTTAAAAAGTACTTTAAAAGTAGTTAAAGGTTTTTATACCTTATTACTAGGATTAGCTTCCTGGGCTTAATTGCGCTCTTAAAAAATATTTTATTTTTATTTATTAAAAAAGCCTAGTTAATTTACAAAAACTTTCTTAACAGCTGGCTAAGGCAAAGGCGTTAGTATTAATAAATTAATAAGTATATTAATCATAGGATTATTAGGGGGATTATTAATTAAAGCTATAGTAAAGTAGTTTAAAGTATCATAAAATTACTTTTTTTAGGATACCAATAAGGTATAGAATAAAATTTATTAAAAATATAAGGTGGGCTAAGGGTTCTAATTAAGCAAGCTTGGCTTGCTTACCTTAGCTTAATTAAGCTGCGGTCAGCTGCAGACGGGGTGGGCCGACCTGTATTCACAGAGGTTGCGGCCGGGGAATTCGGAAGGATGGCGGCTCGGCCGTGTCGGAGCTAGCAGGCCTTGATGCCTTACTGCCTGAGGCCGCAATTGCAGGTCATGGATACCGCTCCAGACATTTTCGAGGAGATCACTCCTTTGGATTAATGCCGCGATGTTTGTCGGCTGTCAATAATAAGCTAGATCTAATAACAGTGACATCGCTTACTATTCAAGTTCAATGGCCATAGTCAAAGTGCAAAAAAAGGCAAATCTATATTGGGACGTGACTAACCACGGCACGGTATGTACTCAGCAAATAATGAGGCTAATAAATAGCAAGCGATATAATGCAGACCAGCTTTACAAAGCTTCAAGGTCAAACTTCTCCGCATCCTCCTTCCAGATACCAACTGCGGCATCTCGCTTGATGAACTGCCCATACCCTTTATGACCAACAATACCCCCATTATCGCGATCCCAGACGACCTGACCGCGTAGGATGGTATATCTAGGCCAGTTGTTGACCTTCTGCCCCTCATACGGCGTGTAGTCGGTGTCATGATGGAGCATCTCATTCGTCACCGTCAAGTCCAACTTCCCCGGGTACCAGATCGTTAGATCCGCATCCGAAATGCCAGGGATTATTGCCCCTTTCCTGGGATATAAGCCGTAGAGCTTCGCGGCATTGGTCGACGTGACCTGAACCAGTTTTGTGAGCTCAAGTTTCCCAGCTGACATGGCCAGTGACATGCGCGTTTCCACGCCCGGCAAGCCGTTGGGGATGTACTTGAACTGTCCGACGGGGTGTTCGTCCGTGATGCACGTCTTCTTGCCAGACTCTGCGTCGTCATAGCGGAACGGGCAGTGGTCTGAGCTGAGAATGGCGAAGGTCCCATTTTCGAGGCCCGTCCAGATTGCTTCTTGGTCCTTTTTATCCCGTGGTGGCGGAGAGCAGACGCACTTTGCACCTTCAAAGCCCGGCTTATCAAGATCGTCGCGGGTTAAGAACAGGTACTGGGGACACGTCTCCGCCATGATCGGCTGGCCGTGGGTCTGCGCTTCCCGGATACGTGCTGTTGCGCCGACATCGCTAACATGGACGAGTAGGATTGGAGTATCGGCGATTAGAGAAGAGAGTGCGATGGCGCGGTTGGTCGCTTCTGCCTCCAAGATCGGCGGCCTCGAGTTGGAGTGGTACTTTGGCGCGAACAGTTTGGCGGCTTCGAGCTGGTTCGTCAGCCAGTCCAGCACCTCGCCGTTCTCCGCGTGGATCATGGTCAGTATTTTGTTTTCTCGCGCAGCTAACAAAACCGACAAAATGTCGCCGTCCTTGAGCTGCAGAGCCTGATACGTCATGTAGATTTTGACCGAGCTGATTCCTTCTTCGCGGAGCTGAGGGAACTCCTGAAGGGCCTGCTGACTTGCTGTGCCCAGCAGAACGTGGAAGCTGAAGTCGGAGTAACATTGTCCGTCGGCAAGGGCGCGCGTGTCACGGATCACACTCAAGGGAGTCGCGGACGTATTCTTCACCAGCGGGGCGAATGTGACGATCGTGGTATTCCCGCCTGCGATGGCGGATCGAGACCCGGACTCGTAGTCGTCTGATGATGTGCCTTTGCCGAAGAGGCTCGGCTCCTGTAGATGGACATGGCAGTCGATGCCGCCGGGCTGTGGTTTCGTCAGTCGTAGGGCTTGTGCGAGTCAAGGTGTGGTTTACCATGACATAGCCGCCCTCGGCATCTATCACTCGGGCGCCTTCTGTTGCCAATGACCCCGAGGGAGCAAGAAGGGCGATTTTCTCGCCTTGGATGGCGATATCCAGGGGCGCTACATCCGCGGCTGTAACACAGACTCCGTTAGTGATGACAAGGTCATACATTGCGAGATCAGGCGGTATAGGTATATAGAAGAGGGAGGGAGAAGACTCACTGCAGGTGACCGACAGGATAGAAGCCCTCCGAATCCTTCGGAGTGGGGAGGAACGATAAGAAGCTCGGCCTCCAACGGGCGTTTTGATAAAGTCGCCGGAGATAAACAAAAGATTACGAAATACGAGAGCTGGCGACAAGGCATGGCACGTGCGACGCTAGGCCCTTTGTAGATGAAGCATAATCACGTGTTGTTGTGACTGCTCCTTGTTGATCACGAACAGACTCACTCGAGTCAAGGCGATGGACCTGGTGGAAGTTAACTTTTGCAAAATATGTCATATCGTGGGAATGAATACACCCGTATGACCGGGTTGTAAGGAGACTAGTCTCCATGTGTTGTTGGGCCCAAACTCCAAAGCCCTAACTCGAGCTCTTATCGCCTGAGGCGCCGATCTCGGTCGCTTTATGTACGTCAATTGGCACATCGTACAATCCATGTGGCTCTGAATGATCAAATTATGTTGATTGAGCCCTAAATTTATAGCATTTAGTTCTCTACTCTTACGGATGGTCTATATCTTCTACTGTCAGCACGGTAATCTTGGTATGGTAGAGGCAAGGTGTCCTCTATTTTTGTATTTTTCGCAGAAATAAAATCTAATCTCAAATCAAGTATAACATATCCAGGGTAACGACTGATGGTCAAGTTTAGCTTGATTCCAGCCTAGCACTGTCCAGTCCGGAATCAAACATCTCTCTCCAGTGATCGATGCCCCGTAGGCAGCATAAACAAACAAACCAGCCCATACATCAACATAACATATTACGGCCACGCCCGCATGTACATCCCCTTCTCCAAATCCCACAGCGACGAGGAGAGCCCCGCGTCCGCTCTGAACTTGTCATAAACCGCCTGTGTAATATACTCATCAAAGTACATCCTCTGCAGTACCGCCACAATATACCGCGGGGTTGGGCACGCCCTAACGCCCAGCGGACACTCTGACTCAAACTTCGAATACAAGAACTGGCCTTCGATGAGTGTTGAGATGAGTTCCAGCTGCAATACCAGACTTGATAGGTTGAAGTCCTTGTTTTCGAGGGTCTCGAGCGTGTAGCGGCATCTCCACTCGTCTATCTTCTCTTCCTTGCAGGTGTACATGGTGCAGGTATCTGAGTCGGCGTTGTGGTAGACGAGATACCACCGGGAGGCGTCTTTGCCAATGTAAAACTCGTGGGTAAACATGTTTGCTGTGGTTGCGGTGCTTTCAGTATCAGTATGGATCTGAAGGTACCAAAGGTTCTGAGATTGGGTGGTCAGTTCTGTTAGAACACAATCACAGATAACCCTGGGAAACCAATGATGAACAGGAGGAAACAGGAAACAGTGGACTCTTAGGCGCTACTTATAGACGGCCTGGTGTGTTGAGCACAATGAGGCAGTTCTTTATTCGAGCCGTTCGTTTTGAATCTGGTCGGAGTCCATTGTAATACGTGCCTCGTTGTTCGAGTGTAAAGAAATCACATAAAGCGGTGCCCTGGTTAAAGGGGGTATAATCTGCTTTATCTCTTTGGTTACAACAGACTCGCTATTGTTTTGCGTCTGGTCGAAGTCTATTGTGATACATGCCTTGTTCGAGTGTAAACTAATTAGTTAAAGCGGTGCGCTGGTTGAAAGAAACACAATGCGCTTTATCTCTTTGGTCGCAACCGACTCGCCATTTCTTTTGCCCTGATTAGGCACGTAAAAACCTTTCGTCTGCATAGTACGCATGGCAGTGCACAATGTGCCCAGATCACGATGTAGGTGGGGTATGGTAGGCATTGCGAAGCCCATGTCTGCTCTGCCTCTCAAACTAGACCAAATCACCTTACTCACCTAGTTCTCGAAGACATCCTTGGATTTATAGAAGCAGAGTTGATTCGCCTCAACTACAATACGGTCTGCAGGTACGAGACCATTGCCACCGGGCACCACATCTAGGGTTTGATATGCCTGACCGAGTCATTTTCAGCTCGACATCAAACCTCTCGCTCCTCCTCAATCCCTGCCTAACCACTGCAGGGATGTCCGGTGTCCGTATATCCGGCTTCCACCCGTGTGGATTCCTTTATTAGGGCTAGAGGCCCCACAACCCGCGCCCGAGCCCACATGGCTGCGGATTTATCCCGAACTCTCCGCTGACGACCACCCTCCTTGACAACCTCATGCATCCATCTCACTAGGGTAGTACAATATGAGTCAGTATGAGACACGTGAATTTTCTAGAGTTGCAATAGCTTGCGAGACATGTCGCAAGCGCAAGCGCAAGGTTACCACCTTCCCCTTCTACTGAACGATATGGTAGGATCTAACGCGCGCAGTGCGACGGAGCGCAGCCGAAATGTTCCTGGTGTTTAGCAAAGGATACTGAATGCCACTATATTACGGAGAGACCCGCGAAGTAAATATCCCCTCTTCATGCTTGCCAACTAAATCTGACCCGCCCAGGCGAAAGCTTGATAGGGACTATGTCGCTGGACTAGAGGATCAGATCGCCTTGCTGAAGGAGGAGGTTCGGCGGCTGGAGAACCTCAATCCTACCGCTACAAGGCCTGAGCATATTGCCTCTATTCTAGCTGAAGATAGCGAGTTGGGACAGAAGAGACAGGGGCAGGGGCAACGGGCAGACGAGACGCTTTTCCCAAGCACAACAACAGCCATCGATGATGTAAGTGCGCTCATGTGGCGGATGAACATCGAAAGCAGCGGCGAAACAACATTGATTGGCCCATCTGGTAATTTCTGTTTCCCGGTCCCTCATGCCGATGCGTTTGAAGACGATTCCCGGTTACACTCCGGTGAAGCAGCCTGCGATCGGCCATCAAAAGAAACAGACCGGCTGGGAATCATTACCCGACTACTCGATGATTTTACCCGCTTCATTAACCCCATCCATCAGTTTCTCGACAAGGAAACTCTGACCACGCTCCGCAAAACAGACCTCAGCGAGGGTCTAGCACTCATCAAAACCGCGGCCATGGCAGCAGGGTCTCTCTATTCTGATAATCCGGAGTGTAAGGCTATGGGCGATGAGGCAGCTACAATGGTAGATGCCATGATTATACAGGCCTGTCGGGAGAATCCCAGTGTCTCGACGGTCCAAACTCTTTCTATCATGTCCTGGCGGGAACTTGGGCTGGAGCAGCACAATATGGGCTGGATGTACAACTGTAAGTTACTAGTAAGGACAGAATTAAACGCCGCTAATATATGGCTTTATCAAAGCAATGGCTGGAAGTATGGCCCTGCATCTCGGCCTATCATCCACTTCGGTACATGAAGCTAAGAGTCTTGCCTGTGTTGACGGTGTTACGGCCAACAATGTCCCCAGCGTGAGGTTAAGGGCGCTTTGGTCGACAGTGTTTATGGACAGGGTTGCCACTTGCCTTCTTGGAAGGACGTGCATGTTGCCCTGGAGACGCATCCAGGCCTCCCCATTCCTCGACTCACTGGGCTCGTCCCCTTCCCTGGACGAACTGGTGTTTGATCATCACTGTCGACTCTGGTTTATCTTTGACCAATACATGGACAGAATGTACGGTCGTTCCAGTACTCATTACCAGCCACCTCAAGCTAACTTCCTGCGTACAGATACTCCTTCGAATTCGGCGACTTGAGCAGCGAGGAGCGGTATCGCCTTCTCCTAGACGCTCGGGAGCACCTCCTCTCATTCCAGCGCCAGCTGCACTCTCAACTCCAACTAAGCAAAGCTAAAACAGTACCCTCGGTCATCTTCCTGCAGATGACCATGAACATGGCCCAGATCCTGATTCACCGGCCGTACCTCAAAGAGTCCGCCCAGAGTAACGCGTACTGGCTAAGCGTCCGCACCATGTCAACAGCAGCATCAGGAATGGTCCGTCTGATCCGCGAGTACCGCAAAGTAGGAGCATTCGACCAAGTTCCTCCCTTCGTCGTGCATAGCGTCCTCACTGCGGCGGTTACGCACCTCCTCAACGCCACATCCTCGAACAGTACACTCCGTAGTCGGTCCATTGCCCGGTTCCGAGTCTGCTTCGATGCCCTGGGGGCCATGCAACAGCGGTGGACCAAGGCGAGACGCGCAATCCGGTTACTGCGAGGGCTGGCGCGCAGGTGGCAGATCATGGCTGCACTGCCCTTGCAAAATGGATTCGACACCCCGGTCCCGGCCGAAACGGCCTCGGACTCGGCACTGTCAGGAACAGCGGATATTACGGTGGTCTCTGAGTCGTGTGTCGACGATCTTAATCTGGCGGACTTTTCTGCCCCCGGTCTCTTCCCGGACCTTGCGGCGTCGTTTGATATTGCAGATATTATGTTTTATCAGGGAGATGGTTATGACGCGGAGTATTTCGGAAACTCAAAAGAACTGCCTTGATATCGTTATCAATAAAATTATGTGCGTGTATCAATGATCGTGTTATTTCCAAATGGAATAGTGAACTTTAGGATGGGGGTGGGTCGATTAGCGGCGGAATTTGAACTCCCGCCGTGATATTGCCTTCGATAAGACCGGGCACCACAGTCAATGTTTGTCATTGCTTCAGAATCAGTCTGTCCGGCTCAGGAGATACGGATATAAGCCATCGTCTATCCCAACCGTCATTGACAGCCTCAAGAGTTTCCCATCCCCCTAACCCGTCAAACGATATGCAAACCCTAACCCTAACTCCCACCCAGGTCCGCGTGGCCGTCACTCAGGCTGAACCGGTCTGGCTCGATCTCGACGCCACAGTTGACAAGACTTGCAAGCTCATTGCTGAAGCGGCCGCAAAGGGCGCCCAGCTGGTCACCTTTCCGGAATGTTGGATCCCTGGGTATCCTGCTTGGATCTGGTATGCCCCTATCCTGGCCCTTCTTTCCCCCGAAATATTGCAAGGCTTCTCTCTTGATGAACCCCCAACAACTGACCAAAGAGTATACCCAGGTCCCGCCCCGTCGACATGACCCTCTCCTCCCAGTACATCCGCAACTCCCTTAGACTCGACTCGCCCCAAATGGAAACCATCTGCCGCTGCGCCGCCGAGCACAAAATCATCGTCGTGCTAGGCTACTCCGAGAACGTGCACAACTCGCTCTACATCGCACAGGCCATCATTGGAGCAGACGGGAAACTCCTCACAACCCGCAAGAAGATCAAGGCGACGCACATGGAGCGGACAATCTTCGGCGACTCGACGGGTGACTGCTTGGATAGCGTCGTAGACACCGAGCTCGGTCGCGTTGGGGCCCTGTCTTGCTGGGAACACACGCAGCCGCTGCTGAAGTACCATACGTACTCGCAGCGCGAACAAATCCATGTTGCGGCCTGGCCGCCGCTTTTCGCGCATGGTGCGGGGGAGGGGTTGTTTTCTATGTCGAGGGAGGGTATGCCTATTCAATCTGCTAGCATCCTGTCTCCATACCATACAGTTCGCAAGAATAGATAGGGTACTGATGCTGCATGTCTCATAGGAACCATCTCCCTCGCCCAGACCTACGCCATCGAGTTGCAGTCCTTTGTGCTGCATACGACCGCCGTAATAAGCCAGTCCGGTATCGACAGAATGCGTACATCGGCCGGAGTCGTCATGAATACTCCTGGTGGCGGATGCTCAGCCATCTTTGGACCCGACGGGCGGCAGCTCTCGACTTCGATTCCCGAGACGGAGGAGGGTATTATCTATGCGGACTTGGATCTCGATGAGATCTACAAGTCCAAAGCATTTGTTGATCTGTGTGGCCATTATAGCCGGCCGGATATGCTTTGGCTGGGGGTTGATGGCGGCGTTAAGGAGCATGTGAGGAGTAGGGGGGCGGCGGTTGATGAGCGTTAGAAAACCTGATAGATGTGTGATAGAGACTTTAAGTATGTTTTGTGTCATCAGACTGGTATGCGAATTTGGCTACATAGGTAGACAACCCAAGTAAAGGGAGGGGGGGAACCCCACCTGCAGGTTGACATAGGACGCGACCGAGGAAGCTTGTATCCTGAGACATGAAGATATATGAAAAAAACACTGCCTCTCATTACGAGATTCGTTCAACACGTGGCGGTTGAAGGGCCAATGAATAGACAATCCGGCTTGCAGCATTCCGCTTCGAATTCCTCGCCCTGGCGGTCATTCGGGATCCGCGGCATTCCTCCAGCTGATATGACGGGGAAATTGAAACCAATCCCCACTACAAAACGAGCATCTACAGCAGCTATCGAAGCCGAGGATGATAACGATACCTCGTCTCTGCCTTCTTGGCCGCCCCGAGTGAAGATAAAAATGATGACATGGCGATGCTTTAGTATCCTAAACGATATTGGAGCGTCCATACATATTTATCCCCTCGAATCTATACTATTTGCTCCGACAAAAAAGACCATGCCTGTCAGCCCAAGCCCTAATATGCTTCCCAAACATATACAATGGCAAAGTACTAAGCATGACGCCTACAGTGACAGCCCCAAAGGTGCAAAAGAACACCATAGACCCATACTTGGTCAGGAACTGGTTAAAGACAAAGCTCAGGCCAAAGGCAAATGCACTTTTTGCAATCTATAAACAGGTTAGCTAACAAGAATCTCTACCTGAAAACCCTCGGCAAAAGCTGGGGGATATGGTACATACCATCGCAAGCCCAAACGCATCACCCGCCCTCTCACCACAAACATCATTCGTATACGCAACGATCACCGTGCAGCCCATCCCCACCGCATAGTTCAGAATTGCCATGAATACCCCACACACAATGACCGACAGACCACGCGAGACCGCAGCCGCGAGCCCAAACGCACCAACTGCCATTGTGACAATAGCAGGGAGCATAACAGGAAGGCGAAACTCCGGTTCGTAGATGCCCGAGTTCCTGGCGGCCATGGTCCTGCTGCTGAGATCGCACAACCACCCGCCCATTACCGTGCCCAGGGCCGAGCCGATGAAGGGGGCGATACCTGTTAGATTGCCCACGGCGACGGTGCCCATGTTGAACGGGGGCGCTGTGAAGATCTGCGATGCGACGGCGCCGATGAGGATTCTCCAGGTGAAGGTTACGGCCCACATTATGCAGCCCCAGGCGACGATGGGGTGGAGGAGTAGACTTAGGGGCTCGATGCAGGCGAGGAGGATGTTGCGGGACGGAAGGGGTCTTGGGTCGTGCCCGAGGAGGACGGTAATAATTGATCGCGAGGGCGCAGAGATGTCTGATCTTGCTATGTCCGTGATCTCGCTTTTCGGGTTCTCGATCGAAGGTTCCACGGCAGTCCGGTCGAATGTTGTCTCTGGGAAGCACAGAAAGACAGCGGCGAGTACAACCCCGAACAATATCGCCTCCAGCCAGAAACTCCATCTCCAAGACAGTTCCGAGATGACATATCCACTCACGACGGGCGTAATGTTTACAGATACGATAACTGCAAAGTTCCAGAGTCCCACGCGCAGACCCCGTTCGTACACGAGGAAGACGTCGTTGATTGAAGCCGTTCCGGCTAGGGCAAAGAAGCCGCCCATTCCTAGACCTAGATGTTAATAAAGCGTTAGCTTCGGCATACAGGATAAAGTAGTTGATGGGAAGACATACCCTGGAACACCCGCGAAGCAATCAACGACGCGTAGGACCTCGACGCCGCAGCCCAACAGCAAGAGGCGAGCAGAAGGACCGTCGTGAACAGATAAACCACTCGTTTGCCATAGCACATGGCAAAGCAAGAGCAGAGGTACGCGCTCACACCCAGCGCCATCACCAGGCTCCCGTTTAGGAGCGTGACGCTGGTAAGATCGACGGTGAGCTCGGCCGCCATGACAGCAAAGCCCGGGACGAGGAGTGGCCCCAGCGAGCCGGTTGCGCATGATCCCAGCACAATGGTCGCGAAGAGCAGTTCTTTCCTGGTACGAGACCAGTTTATAGGATCTAATGGCGATTTTGATGGTTGGGACGCCATCGCCGTGTGATAGGTCTGCTTCTTTGAGGGCAAGCTGCTCGCTGGGCCTGTCATTCAAGTTTGTAGTTGATTGAAACAGGATGAGTGGGGTGTTTAACTATGTCACGACTTCTCGGGGTCGACGATATATGCCCTGCTACTATATTAGGGTTCGTCTCTGGATCGGCATATCAAGGTATCAAGGCGGATGATCGCCATCCGCCGCTAGCTCGTCGTTATCAGCGTTAGTCCAGGTATCTTGGCGTTATCGCCCCTGCTGGGATAGATAGACATTTCTTAGGGCTAATGGGGATCTCGTAATTATCGCCCTCAATCTACGTTTTCCTTGCATTGGAAGGTTGTGGGGTACCCTGCTCTTGCAGAGGCTACCGAGCCCCCGGTCCACGTCCTGACAGGAAAGATCAGGATAAGAAAGACTTCAAAGTTGTCTTTGCATTTTCCCTTCAAGTATAGCAGGTTTCTTCCCGTCAGCAAGACATTAAGCAGAACGGCCTCGCTGGTCAGTTACAGGATGTAGAACCTTTTTACGGAGTACGGTAACCCTAACTTGTCTTCCGGGTCGGGCAAGGGCGTTGAGGGGCTGGGGATGCCTCTATGGTACCAGAACTGAACACTGAAAGCTGAAAGTGAGGCCACCATACCTACTGTCAGTCCATGCTGCAAACTCCGAGTCCTAACGGAGCTGGGAATAAGATACATAAGGGTTAGGTATATCCGTAATCCATTGCCGTAGTGGACCACCGACCCACTCTCCGGGGTTTGAACCTTTTCGAGTGGAGTGATGAGAGCATCGCAATCATATTCGGGGTTTGACTGCTGGTTAAAACGAATACAATGCCATTTTCAGTCTTTGCTTTCAATTTTCATTTAAGCTAAGCCACGGTCACTTCCGCGTAAACACGGCCTTTGGTCCAGTACGAACTATTATATATTATCTATTTTAAAGCAAGCCACAATGAGCCAGCCAACTATTGTCTTCTCCCTCGGCGCGTGGTCTACCCCCGCTGTCTTCGATGCCGTCCGCTCTCGCCTCAACACCTTCGGCTTCGACTCCGAGTGCCCTGCTCGTCCCTCTGTGGACGGTGAGCCGCCACTGAAGACGTTCGAAGACGACGTTGCCTCATTGCGCAATGTCCTGACCCGTCTTTCTGAAGAGGGGAATGACATCGTCGTTGTCGCTCACTCGTACGGCGGTATGGTAGCGTCTTCCGCCGTCGAAGGGCTCGCCAAAGAATTCGGGGGCAGAGTGATCAAGGTGATCTACCTAGCTGCCTTTGCGCTCGACAAAGGGCAGAGCTTACTGGGACTACTGGGTGGGAATTTGCTGCCTTGGATGAAGCTTGAGGTTAGTCAGTCGCTACCCACTCCATGTCTGCGATTATGGTATATTTACGCTGTAATGTCCCAGGGCGACTACGTGCATACCGATAACTCCACGATCTGGCACGACCTATCTCCAGCTGAACAGGAACTCTGGGCCGCGAGAGCGCGTGGAACTTCGCGCCTTGTCTTCTCTGGAGAAAACACCTACGAGCCCTGGCGAGATATCTCATGCGCCTACATTATCTGTGAGGAGGACTTGGCTCTTCTACTGCCCCTCCAAGAGATGCTTGCCGAGAAGGTTGGTGGGCCAGAGAGGACTTTTCGCCTTCCCGGCGGGCATTCGCCGTTCTTGAGCATCCCTGATCGTATGGCAGATCTTCTGGTGGATATTATCAAGGCATGAAAGGGTGATTTACGCAGCAAGAAATTGGTAAAGTTAGTAAAGAACCGTGAGAGTATGAACAAGATAATAACATAGCTGAAGAGGCTGCAGGCCGAGTATAGTGTGTTGCCTACTAGGTAGTGCTTGTTGGGTAGATTATGGGAGGAACTTAAAGCAGGCTACCTAAGCTACATCCATCCTACACGCACATGTGGGCAGGTGGGCGTGAATAACAATACTAGGTATCATATACCATACCCTTCTAGACAAGTATATATGCATCGCAATATTCTCTAAGCATCGTCGCGACGTGTAGCAAAGTACAGGTGCAGAAGTCCACACCCTGCACGTGCAGTATGTTTGCCAGCTAACATTCATACTGCATAAAAGCGAGTTGATATCAACAATACGGTCCCGCGTATCTGCCATATACCAAGCCTCCCTGACAGAACCCCCGACCTGGTAGGCTCCGTGCCATACATACCTAGGCACACTAGCCCCAACCAGGACACATAACCAGTTGACGGACCATGTTTTCAGCCTCGTTGTACCGATCCAGATAGCAGTGCCGCCCATCTCCTCCTCCGCTTTGCTTCGTGCACTAAAGACAGAAGAAGTCAGAATTGTTCGACTAGATGTGTATAGATGGAGACGGATTGCATACTTTACCAATGTGGCATCTCCTGCATAGTAAAAAGAACGGGTTAGCACGGTAGACTACCATAGCTTCGGACGGTTTGATGAGTAGTAAGGCAGTGACTTACATATTACTCCCGTCAACTTTGCATTTTGTCCCGTTGCATTTCTGGAGCGGTGTTAGCATGGTACAGTCAGGACTCTGTGAATGGGAGGGGATCATTCATACTCCGCACCGGATATACTTGTCCTTTTTGTCGCAATCTTGGACTCTGAACTGCGGCTTCTGCTCTCCGTCGTCGCTTCTGGCAAGGACAGGAACGTGGGTGGCGGCGCTGACGGGGAGAGCGACAGAGTCCAAGGCGCGTGCAGAGGCAAGGCTGGCAGTGGCAGCTTGAGCACTAGCGAAAATAGCCAAGGCGATTCCTGTAAGACGCATGGTGGCAGATGGGTTTTGGCTGGTAGGAAAAGTGATGATAATGGTAAGACAAGGTTGAGACTCTGCGAGGGTGGAATGGCCGCGTTTATAGACATTCTCAGTCCTTTGAGATTGGGTCTACGCAGCGCCTTCTTCAGGTCTCCTGATTCTCCCACCCTGCACCCATTATGATCGATCTTGATCTCTTGTTTGGGATGGAAAAACCACGATTCCCTATGGTTACATCCCTTTGACCCTATTCCGAGCTTTTCAATATATGCTATTGACGAAACTTTCCAGGGTTGTATCTTTCTACTGGCCCAACAAAGACCTGTGCTACCCAATACCCCTTTATTATGGTCAGCAGACAAGCATATCTTGCATGGCTTCTTCCATGTGCTTTACCGCATGCGGCCAATCTGATTTGTCTCTACATTGTTCTGTCTATCTTGCTTTAGTCGAATGTCTCGGCTTAATGTCGGCGATTTGCTGCTCCTTGAGCGCATGGTCAGATCTGCACATTTCTTGCCATGGAATATCTTCTTTCGATATAATCCTACTCTATGTGGGAAAGAACATGTGATTCCAATTGAATCATGTTGCTCTAGGGTAGATCGGTTGTCTTCATACTCTGAAGTATGGAATAGCTATCTAGCTATAGTACACCCTTAGATCCTCCGAGCATCTATAAACCCCTGCTCTTCCCAGATCGCCTCGGCATAGTCCTTCAATGCCGGCGCGTTAATCGAAATAATCGCCTCTCCCTTAGTGCCAGGCGAGCACAAGAAAATCTTCTCAAATAACAGCTTGAGCGCATCGTCCGAAATCCTAACATCATCGCCTGACTTTGTAATTCCAATTCACTGCTTCCTTGCTATCCGGCTATCCACTATCACCCACTGGTCAATAACATTCCTAGGCTCATGCCGCTCAATGGCAATTGTGATCACCACCTCAACCTCACCCCCCGACGCACCCAACCAATGCCGAATATCGCTCATGAGCTTTCCCTTCGTCTCAGCAAAGCTTAATTCAAGAACAGCACTCGGCCAGTGTCGAGTTCGGTCCTTGAGGAGTCGAGCAGGCCGCCACGCCGCGTCGGGAGTCTTGCCTATATTAACCGTTGAATGATACGAATTGGTCTTCCGGTAGTGTAGGTAGAATTAGACGGAGTAGGGTTCCGGGTTACCAGGTGGAGTCGATATGTCTCCTGCCTCCAGCTGTATCCCTGCTCTCTCATAGAATAGTGTATGAGTTGAAGGATATTATCAAAACGTGTGACCAGTCTTGGTGTCTGTACTCGAGGCCATTGTTTCTTCCCATTGGTTCCGGAGTCGTTGGAGCTTATCTCCGATTGGTCCGGAATAGTTGGCGGCGGAACTTATCCCCGCTGAAGTCCCAGTTCAGTCTTCATCAAGGACATCCAACCCATTCTTCACTTGGATTTCTGTCAAGTCATCATCTTGGATATTGAGTGTCGAGAGTTGTTGTGTTACCTAGGTTTGGTGACGAGGGGAAGGGAAGTCGAGGGAATCGTGTTGCCGTGGAAGATGAGGCCAACAGCCCCGGCCACGGTCAATTTCCTCAGTAACACCTCACCTGGGCATGGACTTGCCTTGCTAGTTATGATTCACTCGACTCCTCTACCAGATGAACGAAATACACTGGCAGCTCTTTTGTAGCCTGAGACTCTTTTTGAAGGCACATCTCGCTTGTCGCTACATATTGGCCACGGAAAGCGATCCACAAATAGGAATTTTTGTCCGGGCGTGGATAATAAGGGTCATTGCCTTTGAAAGCGTTAGCTGCTTGCCGAGCACCCTGCTTATCCACAGTCATAGGACGAGCAAGGTCAAAGTCGAGCATCCACATCTCATGGAGGCCCAAGGCATTAGACCAAGATTCCGGTGATCGATTCTCATCCGGCTGATCGTTCGGCGACGCCAGAACAAACTCGACGTCATTGCCGTCTACGTGGGCGACCCAGTGCAGTTGAGCCAGCGCCTTAGCCATAGTCCGCGCGTAGCCGGCGATGTCTGTTTCCGGAATCCCGATCTCCTCCATCTGGTCTAGATGGAGGGGATAATTTCTTAGAGAGAAGGCCTGGAATCGCGATGGCTTTGAGGCTCGGACTCGACGGCGGCCTAGGTATGGCCGGATCATACAATCGCGGTTTGCATCGCTGGCCAGGATGTTAGCTCTTAGCGGCTCTGGGCAATATTGCTCCGTGAGGAAACGCCTGGTTGCTTCGGGGACAGGAGGGATGCGCTGGGCGTGGATCGTATTGCATGGCTCGTATCCCTCTGGGAAGCGGGCGAGATTGTTCTTCCACCAGGCATCGAGGGGATCGATATAGCCGTGGCAGAGTGGAATATTGATATTATATTGCGTCTGCTTGGTCTCTGGCGCCTCTGTGAGGTCTGTCTGATGCATGCAGTGCAGGATATGTTGATGAGTTTGGAAGTCGTGAAGGAGCGACCGGTGAGGACCGCCGTCTTCGCGCTTGAAGGCCGAGCCTCGTTCTTCTGCGGCCCAGACGGTCCCGCAGAAGCCAGCTCCGATTCTTCGGAGGGGTGTGTCATCCATACTGAAGGCAGTGATAGATGAAGTAAAGATGATCTTTCAGAGAGGACCAAGCGGACATGAAGTCCTTATTAACACGTAAGTAGGACATCTCCCCGCCGGAGGACAAGTTCCGCCTGAGTCACCGGACGCCACTTCCGCTGATGACAATTCCTGGCCAATGGCAGGAAACATAGCAACTAGGAAAGCACGGGCTTCTATCCGAGCCAATGGCAGAGTGTTACCATTTTGTGGTCTATCAGAAACATCCCCGATAAAGCCTTATATACAGCCGAGCAGCAACTATAGAGACAAACCAATCCATCCTCCTAGCACCCTACCTGATGGAAGAATCCTGGACCTACAAAACCGCCCCCCTCCCCCCAAACCACCCCCTCACCCTCTCAACCCCCAAACTCGTCACAAGCAGCATCCGCCCAAGGACATCCACATCCGCAGGCTGCGCATCCCGTAACAAATCTCCAAAATCCACATTCCGCACAACAAAATGCTCCCTCCCCTCCCACGCAACCCCAAACTCCACCGCCGAGGGCGCATTCCACAGATACGCCGACGCATACCAGCTATGCAGCAGCCCGAGCTTCCCATCGCACTTCATGTCCTGATCGCCGCGGAACAGACGCAGGATCTGCAGGACGTAGAACGTGAAGAGGATTGTGCGGCGGGCGGATTCTTCGACGGTCCAGAGGGGCCAGAAGGATGGTGCTGTTCCTGCTGGGGGCACTATAGCTGAGTTTGTGGCTGTGCCGTCTGGAGACGGAGATGGGGATGGGGATGGGGGGAAGTGCGTGCTGCTGAAGAGGAGGGAGGCGGATGATTGGAGGGCTGACATGGTGAGGGTGTCGAGATGCACCGACGTATTCAGCGCGTGGAGGTCTGCGTCGAAGAGGGACATGATTGTGTATAGGAGCAGGGCGTGTGTATGTGCTAGGAGGTCGGGGGGTGATGAGGGCAGTGGCGACAGAGTGAGTTCTTGATGCCGCGAGTGAATGTGCGATGTGATCATGGGCGCGTTGATGGGGTTCTTGGCGATGTACAGGGCGCAGCAGGCGTAGGCGTCTAGGCGCGTTAGTCGAGTTGATATAGCTTCCCGGGTAAATAGAAGATAAAGAGCATACCCTGCATAGCCTTCGGCATCCCATTGCTGTATAGCTGGGCATGAGACCAGGGCGTCTGATTCTCAGTAACCATCTTCCGAGGCGTGTCTTTGAGGATATCGATAGCATACTGGAAGCGCGAGGCCATGAGCTCAGACAGCGAGAACGTCATTTCCGATCGAACGTGCACCATTTCTCCATTGCCGGTGTATACCGGGACTGGAACGGTGTACAATCGACTCTGGTCCTCGAACGCCGACGGTAACGGCAACGGCTGGCTCGGCGTTTCGAGACCCAGGTCTAGCATAGGTGGAGTCGGCATAGCATCAAACATAAATTCCTCAGCGCATGCATTTGTTCCACCAACATTATCATGTCCATTCAACAGCGCCAGTAACTCAGGGATCTGCTCCGCCGGCAGTCCCGGGTAAACACACGCGATATCCCTGCGGGTGCAGCGGAAGCAGGCCGGGAGGGCGAGATCGCAGCGGCGCTTGGCGGCCCTGCATGCGTCACAGGACTTGCGCCGGGGCGGCGGGTTGTTACGTTCCACGGAGCTCATGGTGACTGAGCTGAGTAGACGGGGATGGAAAGGGGAAAATCGGGCACCTGGGGGGATCAGGGTGTGGGGCGATCTGGCGCAGTTCCGCACGCTAAGAATGGCCTCCGCTGCTATCTGCACAGGGAAGGCCCCAGCCCTAAGTTAGGTAGTATACAATGAAGCCCTGGCTGGATTTAGCGCAGTGGAAGTCCGCAGGGTGCCGCAAGTCATGCTCAGTGTAACTATAGGTATAGTAATATCTATCGTGGCACGTGGATCTGACATCCTCGATGCTAGCCCCGCACCTCACCCAGCCTATATAAAGCCACCCAACTGACGACCTTGCGGGTCAGTCAGCTCAGTGGCGCTAGGCGGTGATTTAATATCTACTTAACGGTGAATAACAAGGTAACTTTAACTAAGAATAACTTAATAAGTATAAATAATAAAAGGTCTAAATTAAAAAATATTTAAAAAACTAATTAAAATATTTTAAATAAGCTATATTTTAAAGCCCTAGCCCTATTATATTTAAAGTAATAAGTAAATAAATTTAAATAAGTATTTTTTAATAAGTAAAAAAAATATTTATTAATAATTAGCCTAAAATATTTACAAGTTTAATACACCCCCTTATATTAAATTTAATAAAATTAACGTGATACTAAAATAAAAAAAAATATTAAAAAAAAATAGTTTTAAATTTAAGTTACTTAATAAATTTAGCGTGTTTTATTAGCCTAAGTAGCTTTATAAAATTATTAGCTAATTACTTATTTATAGGGATTTAATATACTTTAATATTTTTAAAAAATTTTTTTAAAGCTAGTAATAATATATATTAATATATTATAACTTAATAATAAAGTTAGGATTTTTTTAATAAGTAATTAAATAATTTATTAATTATTATATAAAATCTTAAGATCTTGCCCGGGATTAAACTTTAATTTATTAAAAAGTTTTTTTTATTAAAATAAGTATTTACCTACTTTTAATATAACTAGGAGTTTTGCTTTAGTTATAAAAGTAATAATAATTTATTAATAACTTACCTTTTAATTAATTAAGCTATTAAATAGCTTTATAGTATAATTTTTAAAGCTTTATTATTTATTTATATTAATATAAAATATATTAATAATAAAGGTAAGGTTATCCCTAGTTATATAGGTAATTATTTTAATATTTTTTTAAATATTATAATAAGCGTGGTAGTTTTAATAAAATATTAAATTACTTACTTTATAGCCTTAATATAAGCCTTTATTAAATTTATAAGGTATTATACTAATTTATTTGCGGTCTTTAAAGCCTTAGGTTATGTTTAAATAATTAAATAAAAAAAAATTAATAAATTATTAATAAAGGTAAATATTTTACTTTTTTATATAATATTTATTAGGTGCTAGCTTAAGTTTAACTAATAATAATATTTTTAAATATTAATTAAAATTAAAAAAATTAAACTAAGTTTTAAAACTTTTTATATAAAAGTTTTAAAGTAAGTAAATTATTTAGTTCCTATAATTATATATAATTTAAATATTAAAAAATTATTACATAGCTCCTATATTATAAATTTTATATATATTAATTATATATTTTTTTAAACTCCGCGGCTGCTTGTTAAGCTTTATAAGTTTTTTAATAAAAAATAAAAATATTATTAATAAAAAAGATAATAATAAAATACTTACTAATAAAAAGGTATTTTTTTTAGGCACTTACTTAAGGCTATACATAGTAAGTTTTATAAAAAATTTTTTTTATTAAATACATGGAGATTAGCGCAGTTTATATAAAGGCCTTAATAATTTTTATACTTTATTTTTTAGTGTATATTCATGCGGAGTTCTTATATAAACCTTTTTATTTATAATATTTTAAATTAAGGTATTTATAATATTTAATTAATTAATTTTTAAATTAAAATAAGCAGCAAGCGCTATTATAAGTTAAAAAAGTTAAGTAATAAGTATTAATATTATAATATTTATTTTTATAAGTGGTTAAAAATCTCCATGTATATAAAGCCTTGCTTTAAATTTAGTTATATAGCCCTTGGTATTAAACTTATATTTAAATATTTACTTTAATAATAATATTATTTTTTTATAGTATTTTTATTATTTTATAGGTGCTTATTATTATAAGGTTATTTATTTTAATTTTAGCCGCCTTAATTTACTACTTTTTAAATAAACTTTTTATTATTTCTTTTTAATTTTATAACTCCAGTAAAGTATTATCTTAGTAAAGTTATAAAGTAAAAAAAAGCTATTATATAATTACGCTAAGTGTAATAAAAAATATTACTTATTTATATACTAAATTTTTTATAAGCATGGCGTATAAATTACTGCAATATTATTTATTTAAATAAAAAATATTATTAATTAAAGGTATATTAAGGGGCCTTTACTTAATAATTTAAAAAACTTATTTTTATATTTTATTAAATTTTATAATTATATTTTTATTTTTATTAAGCACAAGTACGCTATTATTTTTATACTTAAATTTTTAATTAAAAATAATTATTTTAACTAGTAAAGTAGGGATTAAAGTTAGGTAATTTTTTTTATTTTTTTTTTAAATTTTATATTAAAAAAACTGCTAGGGGCGCTAATATTTATATTAAAAATTTTATTTATAGTAGCGCTAAAGTTAAATTTAAATAAGGTTATTTTATAATTTTTTTAATATAATAAAAATAAAGTTAGCTAACTTATTTAAGAACTTAATATAATTAATTAAATTAGTAAGTGGTATTTTATTAATATTATTATATAATTTATAAGTCACGGGTTGCAGGGCGTTAGTACTTTTATTAATTACTTTAATTTTTTTACCCCCCATGCTAGTATTATTATTAATAGCATGTAACTTAATATTATGTTTAAGTTTAAAAGCCTTAATAAGCTTATTTAATTTATTTTTATTATTACTTTTTAAATCTTTTTTAAGCCCTATAAAAAATAATAAAATAATATAAAAAAGTTTACTTTTTTTTAGCTATGTATTCTTGGGCGGGAGTAAATTTATAATATATAAATTATTAATAAGTAATAAATTATTTAAAGTATAAAACTTTAATTTATTAAATATAATATTACATGCTTAAAAAATTAACTAGTATAGCCTTATTTTAAGATTTTATAATTTTTAAATATTACTAGTATTATATTTAATAAGATAGCTTATACTAGCTTTTTTAATAAGCTTTTTAAATTATATTATAGCTTTTTAATAAAACCTTATATAGCTAAAAATATATATATTTAATAAATTAATAGGCCGCGGGATATTAAAAGTGGCTTAAAATTATATAAGTAAAATAAACTAGGTGTTTTTTAGATTTTTAGCAGGTGTATTATTAAGAATATATATAGCTAATTTTATAGTTTTAAAGTTAAAATATTTAAAAAAATTTACCTTTAAAATTATAGCCCAGGCATGCCTTATAATAAGGCCTTTTTAATACTTTAATATAAAGTTTTATTTAAGTATATTTTTAATAATTATATATATAATAACTTTTTTTAAGTATTAATTTTAAAGTTATTTAATTTTATAAAGCCCTTATTATTATTATAAAGTATTATAATCTTGCGGCTATATTAATTTTTTATTATATTATAAAAATATTAAAAAGTAGGAATATACTTATTTTTATTTTTATAAAAAATTATAAATTATATATAAGTATAATTATTAATAAAGTATAAAAGCTATTTTAAGCTATTTTATAACTTTAAGCTAAGCTATATTATATTAAAATAAATAATTTTAAATAGTTAAGTTAATTTAAAAAAATCTTTTTTAAATATTTATTATAAAGTATTGGCAAGCTTGTAAATAAAGTAAAAAAATAATATTTATTAAAATTCTTATTTAAAGTAATAATTTTTACCCCTAAGGCTAACTTTTAAAGTTATAATACTAGCTTATTACCTAGGTGGCCTATATATTAATACTAAAGTTTAATATTTTTAGTAAGCACTCCTGGTTTTGCTAATTATTAATATTTTACCTTAATTATATTAAATACTTTTGCTAAATTAGGGAAGTACTTATTTATATATTATTAATTAAATATTTTAAATCCCTAGTATACTCCAAGGTAATATATTAACTAGCTATAATTATTTTTTATAAGGTATTTATAAGTATTAAAAAATAATTCTTTTTGCTTTAAAAAATTAAGTAATATAATATTAATATAAAAGCCTTTAATATACGCGCAGTTTATAAATTTAAGGATTTATTTTAAACTATTAATATAAGTTATCTTTACTAAAAACATACTAATTATATTAATTATATTTAATATATTATTAATAAAAATTTCTTTTAATTTATTTAGTATAGTTATATAAATATTTTTTATTCTAGTAATATTATTATAAATATATATTATAAAGGTATTATTTATAATTATTATATTACTAAAGTTATATTTATTTATTATAATAGCCAAGGCGTAAAATACTTAATAAATAGTTATATATATTTTATTTAAATATTTTTTTTTTACCCTTGCTTTTATAAAAGTTATAATTAAGTTTTTTAAAGGCGCCTTTATAAATATTTTTAATTTTTTACTTTATATCCGGGTTGGCCATTGCTTTAAAAACTTTTTTAAAAGTATTAATATTTAAATATTATTTTTTTTAAGTATTTATATTAAAAAGGTACTAGTAATAAATAATTATATAATTTTAAGTATAGGTATTATACTTTTTTAGCCCCTTATTTTTTTTAGCTTATTTTTTAGCCTTTAAGGCTTCTTTAAACCCCTTTACTAGCTTTTTTTTTTAATTTTTTTAATTTAACTTTTATTATTTTTTTTAAAACTAATGCCTTTAAGGGTGGTATATATTATAAAAGTTATAATAGTAAATATTAATAAATTTATAAGTTTTTATTTACCTAAGGCTTACTTAACCTAGGCCCTAAAGTATGTTTAATACTTAAAGTATTTTATAATATTATTAAACTTTAAAGGTTTATTATTTTAAAGCTTTTTATTTTTTTACTTAGTAAAAGTAAAATTAAAAGGTATTACATGTTTTAAAAAGTCCTGTATTACTATTAATTTATTTTTTAAAGTAAAAATTTTATACCCTTATTATAAAGTGTAGTTTACTAATTAATTTAGTAATTAATTTATATTACTAATATTTAAATTAAGCTTGCTTTAAGTAATTAAAGTTTTATATATAAATAATATAACTTTATTATTTTAAATACTTAAAATTACCTGCAGAAAATAATTAATATATTATATAGCTTATTTATTTTTTTAAATAACTTATAAAAGTTCTTATTTATTATTATATAAATTATTATTAAAAAGGTATTATATAAAGTTATTTATTTTTTAAGGTGCTTATTATATATATTACAGGCCTTAAGGTATTTTTTATACTTTTTAAAGGTTAATATATTTTTAATAATTTTAGGTTTTTTTAGTATAGGATAAACCTTTTTTTTTTTAATTACTTTATTATTATTAGTTTAAAAATACTTTTTTTTTTATTTTTTTTATATTTTATTAAAGTTTCTTGGGAGCGGTTTCTTAAGCTTTTGCTTTTTTAAAAGTTATTTTTTTTAATATTTAAATTTATATAATTTTAAACGCTTATTACTTTAACATAATTTTTTAACTAGTTATATTATATTAACTAGTTATTATTAGTATTTAAAATAATAAAGACCTTACTAATTATTAAGGTAAAATTAAAAAAATTTATAATAATAAGTTATAAGTAATTATAAGTACTTTAATTTACTAACTAGCTATTATATTTTATAATTAAATATTTTTTTTAATAAAGTACTACTAGGCTTATAATTAATAATTTTATAGGTTAGTTAGCTTAGTAATACTAGGTGGTAATTTAATATTTATTTAATAATAAATAATAAGGTAACTTTAACTAAAAATAACTTAATAAATATAAATAATAAAAGGTTTAAATTAAAAAATATTTAAAAAATTAATTAAGGTACTTTAAATAAGCTATATTTTAAAGCCCTAGCCCTATTATATCTAAAGTAATAAGTAAATAAATTTAGATAAGTGTTCTCTAATAAGCAGAGGAAAAATCTATTAGTAATCGGCCTAAGGCATCCACAAGTCTGACACCAACATCGCAGTATAAGTCCGGCATATCCAAAGCAACTTCCATTCACCAAAATCCAAACATTCTCCGAAATGTCTTCCCCATCCACCATATTCATCTGCGGCGCAACCGGCACCCAAGGCAGCGCGATGATCACCAACCTTCAAAGCTCGCACCCCACCAAGGTCAAAATCCACTCCATCACCCGCGACCTCTCCACCCCGCGCAGCAAAGCCCTCCAAGCCGCCGGCGTCACCATGTTCAAAGGCGACTTCAACGACGAGCCCTCCATCCGCAACGCCCTGGCCGGCTGCACCGCGCTCTTCCTAAACCTCTCGCCCAACCTCGGCGACCTCACGCAAGAACCTAGCCAAGCGAAGCGCATCATCTCCGTCGCGAAGGACCTCGGCATCAACCACATTGTTTACTCAAGCGCTCTCGTTACGAACCCCAACCATTGCAAGTACTGGGATGCCAGCAGCCTCGCTGGCAATATCGTGCTGGCCAAGAACGAGGTCGAGGATATTGTGCGCAGTGCCGGGATCAGGTATACCATTCTCCGGCCGGGGAACTTCATGACGAATTTCCTGGCGCCGGTCGTTGGGTTTCAGTATCCGGGTCTTGTTGAGAATGGCAAGTTTACGACGGCGTTTACGCGCGACACGGTCATCCCGATGGTTGACCCGCGTGACATTGGGAAATTTGGTGCTGCGGCGCTGCTGGACCCGGAGAGATATAATGGGAAGGATATTGCGATTGCGTCGGAGTTGGTGACGCTGGATGGGATTTTGGGGTCGCTTTCGCAGGTTACAGGGAGGGAGTTGAAGGCGGACTACTTGGGTCAGGAGGAGATCGATGCGCAGGTGAAGAGCAACCCGTTTGTGGGTGCGCAGTTGATGATGCGGGATGTGGTTGATGAGGTGGATGTGGAGTATATGAAGTCTTTTGGGATTGAGATGGGGTCGTTTGCGGAGTTTCTTGAGCGGGAGGAGAAATGGGTGAAGGAGACGTTTGTTAGGGCTTGAATGGCTGGATAGGGCTGGGATAGGGCTGGGCGGATAAGGCTGGGTTAGGACCGCGAACGAACACGGGCATTATTGTTTTGCTTCTGTTTCATAACATCAATGTTTGTATTGATTTGGCAGCTGTCATGATTCTTGGTAGTCTACCTAATGCTAACCCTCAACCCTGAAACGGTTTAATCTATCCCAGACAGCGCAACCCCACACCACTTTATCCGCGCCGTAGGCCCGTAGCCACGGGCACGGACATCGCCCTCGCCAAAGACATTCAGAAAACACCCACGGTGCCGGAAATAAGCCAGTTAATAGGCAAAAAGCAAGTGAAGGAACGGTAAAGCATAGGCTGAAGAAGAAAATGCGGGGTGCAGAACGTCGATCGCGGAGAAGGCCTGGACGCCGTTCCGTGTCCTGCAGGTGCCACTGCCAGGAGCCTGCAGAAATGACAGTTGGGCCAGGGTCCTTGGCTGAAACGGCCGGACCCCATCATAGCTTTCTTGTCCCTGGCTAGCCGTGGCTCGTCCGCGGTCCATGCCGACCCTACGCCGTACAAGGCTTCATCCGTTCTCAGAATGGAAGTGCCAATCAGGCTAAAACCGCCGTTGTTCGGTCCTGCTCCGGGCAGGGTTTGTCTCCCATTCAGTATCTACCCCGTTCTTGGGTAGCCATATATAAGACTTGAGACCCGTAGTTTCTGCTGTCTCGTCGTGTCAACCATCTAAGCTCTGGCAGCTGTACCCTCGTTCCTTAGCACCAACTACCTCAACTGTCTTCATTCTTTCAATCCATTTCCTTATTACTGTCATTTCTTCCATTCCCAACCCAAACCACAATGGTCCACCTCAAATCCCTCGCCTCAGCCGCCCTCCTGGCCTCCCTCGCCTCCGCCGGCGTCTGCCGCCCGCGCCACTCCAAGAACGCCAGCGCAAGCACCACCGCCGCCGTCATCGCAAGCATCACCTCGAGCACCAGTGCCGTCACCACTGCGACTGCCACCCCGACTAGCAGTTCGAGCTCGATCGCCAGCTCCAGCGCCAGCTCCGCCAGCGCCAGCCCAAGCCTCGCCGCCAGCTCCGTCTCCAGCGCAAGCGTTGCCGCAGCAAGCACCCTCAACGACCTCTTTGTCGCGGCCGGCAAGCAGTACTTCGGCACGGCGTCCGATAAGACTCTGCTGGAGAACGCGCAGAACGAGGCGATTGTGCGGGAGCAGTTTGGGGTGCTGACGCCGGAGAATAGTATGAAGTGGGATTCGATTGAGCGTGCGTCTCCCCTATGGTCTCTGGAATGGATGTGAGAGGAGGGCAGGCTGATGGTTGATTTTGGTGAATAGCGTCGCAGGGCAGCTTTAGCTGGACTGGGGCTGATTATCTGGTATGCAAATATTTGTGACTGGGTTAGGGTTTGGGGTGGCGATGCAGGTGCTGACAAGGTGTTAGGTCGACTATGCGACGCAGAACAACAAGAAGATTCGCGGCCATACCCTGGGTACGTCGATCCCACTCCCACCTTAGCCAGGGACCTTCTGCCAACTGACCTGCGCTTGTCCAGTCTGGTACTCCCAGCTCCCCTCCTGGGTCTCCTCCATCACCGACGCATCGACCCTCGAATCCGCAATGAAGAACCACATCACCGAAGTGGTCGGCCGGTACAAGGGCAAGATCATGCACTGGGTAACGAACCCCTTCCCCACCTGAGAGAACCCCCACACCCACCCTGCAACGCAGCCACTCATTCTTGCTGCAGGACGTCGTCAACGAGATCTTCAACGAAGACGGCACGTTCCGCTCCAGCGTCTTCTACAACCTCCTCGGCGAGGACTTTGTGCGCATTGCCTTTGAGACCGCGCGCGCTGCGGACCCGGACGCGAAGCTCTATATCAATGATTACAAGTGAGTGTGCGCAGCGACTTATACCATACAGTACCGGTACTAAGGGGTACAGCCTCGACTCGGCCAGCTACGCCAAGACGCAGGCGATGGCGTCGTACGTGAAGAAGTGGATTTCGGAGGGTGTGCCGATTGACGGGATTGGTATGCAGCCGGTTAATGTTTAAAAGAGGGGTCGCGGTCATTGCTGATATTTTCAACTCAGGCTCCCAGGGCCACTATAGCGCTAGCCACTGGTCCAGCACCGAGGCCGCAGGATACGTGCCCCTTCTGCAAGTGACAGTGGTGATGTTAAGCTAACACCCCCAAACAGCACTCTCTTCGCTCGCGGACTCGGGCGTCTCCGAGGTCGCCATCACCGAGCTGGATATTGCGGGCGCCGCGGCGTCGGATTACCTGAATGTGAGGCACCCACAATGACACTGTCCCCACCCCTGTTAACGGGATACTTAGCTGCTCAACGCCTGTCTCGAAGAGGAAAAGTGCGTCGGGATCACGGTGTGGGGTGTCTCGGATAAGGACTCGTGGCGCTCGAGCCTCACCCCCTTGCTGTATGACGCCAACTACCAGCCCAAGGACGCTTATACTGCGATCATCGATGCTCTGTCGTAGGTCGCCTATGATGGTGATGGTCGGGTGGAAGTTGAAGTCACGCGAAGTCGAGGATTGCTCGAGGTCGCAGGTGAGCAGGCAGGGATCGACTATATATACCGTTCTTGGGTTTTGAGCCAGCAAGCTGTTGTCGTATATAACTCATTCCTACGATGTTATCGCAATCAAGTTGTCTTCCAGTGGTTACAAGTGCTTTGAGACAGTCACATGACGAGTCTATTCTTAGAATGGTGATGCCTAAATCTGAAACGCTTGGATTATATCGGCGGGCCAATCACGGCTTGACGAGCGCCCGCTAGCCCGAGGATCTTGAACTTTGCTCTTTGTCTTGGAGTCTGGAATTTGAGTTTGAGTCTGAGCTGGATGTCAAGCCAATGTGGACCTACCAGCACAGCCTCAACTCAATTCCGCACGGATGCGCGCGCATAATATTGTCGATAGTTCGCGGGCGGGTTTGCAATGCTGTTCGGGCGCAGTGTTGCACTGCTGGAGTTGAATTGTGATGCACCGGTCCACTTGTCGATCAGCAACGCAATCGCTGCGGGCCGACAGGAAGAAACACCAGCCCTCCAGCCCTGGATCATCAACAGCTCAACAAGCGTTATGGGATGACGCCCGATCGCCAGAGTCCAGACAGCCACTGGCGATCGTAAGCGGGCAGCGCAGATCCCCACCGCGACCAATGGGATGCGCGATTCCCCTCTGGATCCAAGACAGAGACTCGAGGGCCGCGTGGATGGACCAAACGGACGAGAAAGAAACGCCGAAGATCCAGAAACAGAATCCAGCTCACCATGCAATAATGGGCATGAGCTCGGCCTTTCGTTGCCAGTTCCAACCCTGCCACCTGCACTATCCGGCTCCGGCTGAGCCTGACCCGGCTGTCTTGTTTCTTTGCTTATTTTGCGCTCTTTATATTATCGCTCTCCCCCGGTCTCAGATCTATCCTGGTTCGATTTGTCCATTCACCTTCGGCTTCACTTACGCCTCCCAGGCTCGGCCTCTCGATTCACTGTCGGACCTCACCACCACACCACCACCAAATTATGTATTAAAGCAACACCAGCACCTGCATTGGCATACTCACCCATAACACTCGCTACATCTACAAATACCAATACAAATCTCCGAACCAACCAACCCACTCCCACCACAACCACCACTCCTACACCCAAGACATCAAAAAAGACACCATGGGCCTCAGCAACTCCGCCGTCATCGTCATCGTGATCGTCGCCTGCCTGGCCTCCGTCACACTCGGCGCCGCGCTCTTCCGCCAGTACAACCCGGCCGAGGGCGGACTGGTCGGGCACGACTTCCCGCGCGAGCAGCAGATGTACATGCGCTCGGTGCGCCTGAAGAACATGGGCTTTAACTATCGCGAGAGTCGCACGCCGATGCCGAGGGATGTGGAGAGTGCGAGTATGTATCCATCCTACCCGACCTCTTGTTTTGAAAGATGTGGGTGGTATTGGGGATGGATGGGTGGCTGACAGTGACATTACTTAGTGACTGCGGATGACTCGTCGAGGTATTAGCGACTACATGGCGATAAGAGAGCGACGGCGATCTCGCGACAAAAGATTGGAGTTGGAAGGTTCGGGTTCGGAGTACATATCAACTGCTTTTGGGACGGATTGGCGTTGGTTGGATAATTTATCTTTTCTTCGATGTACTATGTTACGATGCGATGGACATTTTAGCGACTGGGATACGATACCATTTGCGCATTTGAATTGAATACATCTACTCTACGGGAGCGAGGATACAACACCATGTGATTACCTAGCGATTCTCTCGGTCATGGCTATGATTGGCCGCACTGTAGATATAGCTAAGCGATGCGACGCGGCCTCAACACTCCATCTGCTCAACTCAGAATCTTCAAAACCTATCAGACCTCAGCACATGCAGATTCCTTGGGATTCCTTGGACGAACCTTGGAATGTCCTGGGCCAGTCCAATCGGATCACGCCGGTCGCTTTTCCCATTTTTAGGTGTGCTGGGCACGTGATCTTGTCTCACCCGTGGTCCGATGGAAGCTTGGAAGCACATGGAATTTCCCCCAGCCATGTGGGAAAAGTGCCTAAATTTTAATATACCCCTTGAGTTGGCCAGCGCAATTCTCCGACCTTTACTTTGCTGTTGTGTCCAAAGGCTGGGGGTGATAGGTCTCATGACCTGATCAACGCTTGATCTGTGCTCAAAGTCTAAACGAAGGTTCGATCCACTCTGCTTGCTTGCACGGGTATTCGTATACTGCCGACACATTTAGTGTTAGAATAAGTTTTAGTGCCTCACGTGCCCGTGTAATTAAGCTATTTTAGTTTATATAGTAAATAATATATAAACGCGAACAAAGGCCTTCAGGGCGCACTTACTTAAAAATTACTAAGTCCGCGTTAAAATACAGGTATATTAATTTTTATAAAATCTTTTATACAAATTAATATACCCGTACCTTACTAGTAAATTTAATAATAAAAACCTTTAAAAACTTATTTTTAAAGTTATTTTAAGGCGCAGTAAATAGGTTTTTTAACTATAAATTAATATTAAAGGCTACTAACGCGCTGGTACCTGGTTTTTTATAAAAAATAGTATATAAATTAAAGTACCTATATTTATAAAGCTATTTAAAGGTTTATCCGCGTGGTGTTTAGCTAGGAACAAGGCTATTAACACGCTAGCAAGGCTATTAACGCGCTGGTACCTAGTTTTTTATAAAAAATAGCATATAAATTAAAGTACCTGTATTTATAAAGCTATTTAAAGGTCTATCCGCGTGGTGTTTAACTAGGAACAAGGCTATTAACACGCTAGCAAGGCTGTTAACACGCTGGTACCTGGTTTTTTATAAAGAATGGCATATAAATTAAAGTACCTGTATTTATGAAGCTATTCGGAGGTTTATCCGCGTGGTGTTTAGCTAGGAACAAGGCCGTTAACGCGCTGGCAAGGTTATCGGCGCGTTGGTGAGGCCGTTAACGTGCTGGTACTTGGTTTTTTATAGAGAATCGCATATAAATTAAAGTACCTGTATTCATGAAGCTATTTAGAGGTCTATTAGCACAGAATTTGGCTTGGTAGGTACGTGGAGGGCTTACCTAGTTAGTGTGTGTAAAGGAATACATGCTGGGATTTATTATAGCTTTTGTTTATATAGGGTTTTCCATATAAAGTATAGCTTTATTTAATTAAGGGCTAAGAACCTTACATGCCACTCCCTTTATAATTATACTCCTAATTTTGCAGGCTTGTAGCGCCATAAAATTGTAATAAAAATTAAAATAAAGTAAATATATTAAAAGCGCGAGGTTAAGTTACTTTATATAAGTTTTTTTAATATTTAAATTTATAAAGTTCTAGAGTTATTTACTATTTTAGTAAATGGTTAATATTTAACAATGCAATATATATTTAAATATAGTATAATTTTTCTAGTAAATTTACTAAAGTCTAAATTCTGCTAAATTAGCGTAAATACTCTTTTTTAATTAGCCGTGCCCGATCTTACCACCCTTATAACTTATTAATTTTTATTATTTTACCTTGTAAAACTTAATATATTATATAGTATATTAATTTATATATAGTTTGCTATATAATATAATATACCTATATAATATTTATACTTTTTTTAAATTATTATTTTATTACTGCGCGGCGCGCGCAGCAAATATAGTTTAAAAAGGCGTTTATTTTAAAATATATAGGATGTATTATATAGAGATAAACAAATTAATTACTTACAAGTGGTGGGCCGTTTGTGTGGGGGGGTATTGGCAGTATACGAATATCCTGCTTGCACGGGGTTATCTATAGGTTATCCTACCTATTACGGACTCGGGACCTCGGAGCTCCTGTCATCCGGGCAGGACGGGAGTCGGATCAAGATTGGTATATACTTCCGGCATAAGAGCCGTTAAGTCGACAAGTTCGTCGACGTCCACGTTCCGACAACGGGTAAGCCCGCGCATAGTGGCAGCCAAGGCCTCGGCCCCCTCCCGAGGAGACTGCCCTGGTTTACCATTGACGTAGAGGGAGGGCAGATATTGCGCCTTTCCTCGCGGTCTCCCGTCTTGCGACTTGGCCGGGCGATTGAGGTACTGGCCTTCTCAATCCTGTAGACGATGCAAAAACGCATCCAGGTACTTAACCCTCGAATCCTCCTCAGTAACCACCCTCTCAGAAACCCCATCATCCCACGCAAACGCATACCGAAGAACCAAGCCCACCCTCTCCGCAACCTTCATAGCCCGTCCCTCCTCAGCCGAAACCCGCCCAACAATGTCGTAAAACGTATCCCAGAACAGTTTTTCAAATTCAGCCGAATCCGCACGGTAAGTCCACCCCCGCGAATCCATGCTCCCCAGCATATTCAGCACCCCCCACAGCGCCATCCCAAACGGCAGCACCTTCGCCTCAGCCCAGTCGATGATCCCCGTGATCCCGCCAGTCTCCGGATCAACCATGACATTCATCTCGCACAGGTCCGTGTGCGTGAGGACGAGCGGGTAGCCCGGGGTAAAGAGCAAGGGGAGCTCGGCGCGCAGGGTGGTGATGGCGCTGATGAACCGTGTTGGAAGCTCGCGCGCAAGCAGGTCGAACTTGGCCTGTAGGTCGGCGAGGGTGAGCTCGGAGTGGTATGGCAAGGGGAGTCGGTTTACCCATGACTTGGCGAAGAACCTACCCGCTTAGATAACGGATGTTAGTTTTGTCGCGGGGCATCGCGTCCCATACTATAGTCTACATGTAATCAGGTCCTGGGGGGAGAGACTCCTACCTTGCGAAATCTGTCACTGCCTGCTCCAGCCACGAAGCAGGCGGGCTCCGTGCCAGGCGGGCTTCGATGTAAGAGCGCCCGGGGACCTTGTCCATGACGTAGACTGATAGCGAGGGCGCTGGGCCCATGGTGCCTTTGTAGGTGCAAGCGGGTACGACGCTGCCGTAGATATTGCGGGCGAGATCTAGCGTCTTCGTGTCCAGGGGGGACTTGGGCTCGCGGAATTGCACGATCAGATTGCCGGCTGTGACGGTGTAGCTGAAGGCGCCTTGCAGCTGGACTGGCTCGACGGGGTTGCCTGTAAGCTTTGCAGCGGTTTTGTCGCATTCCTCTTGTGTGACTGTGCAGGCGGAGAAGAACTCGTTGATTGTGTTGTCCAGTGAGTAATATGCCATGGCAGCTAAGCGGATGGTCAAGGGCAGGTGCAAAGAAAGAATAGGCAAAGAAAGAGGGTTCAAATTAAGGACATGCAGGTGGCCGTCAAGTGTCTGATCATGGTACCGTAGTGCGTGGAGAGAGCCCTGGTACCCAATGGCAGCTTACAGCGATTGGGTACTTTTATCTTTTAACGGTACCTAGGTAACCCCGTGCATACCTACTGGTCACTATCAATGCCCCACTACCGCGTCCGCGGCAGTGGGTCATCTAACTCCTAATAAAAATCCGGTAGTAATAAAAAACTTTATTTTTAATCCCAAGGTAAATTTTTAAATAGCTATATTTTAGCTAACTTTTATAATAACAGGCTCTAGTAAAAATAAAAACAATTTTTAAAAAGCGCACTCTTATTATATATTTTTAAAGTTAAAAAACTCTAACCTAAACCTTACTAAAATCGCGAAAATATTTAATATTAATTATTAACGCCTGTAAAAAAAAATTTTTAAAAAGGGACCTTATACTACGCGTTAAAAAATAAATAAAAGACTTAGTAACGCGCAGGAAAAGGTCCTTTTAAATTATATTAAGTAATTTAATAACCTTCGCGCCTTCCTTGGTAATACCTAGATTAAATATACCGTGTATAATATCCTTTGCCTTAGCTATTTTAATTTAAAAAAACCACCTAAACCGCTTAACAATAACTAGGCCAAACACTTTATAAAAAGGCATCCGGAGTTTTTTAAAATATATAAGCTATTTAAAAAATTTTAAAGGGCGCAGTCCAAGAATATAAATAATATTTACTAGTAAATAGGCCTATATAATAACTTAATTAAATTATATAGGCTTGTAGTAGTAAATATTTATAATATAAATAAAACTAGCTTTTAAATTAGTTAAAAAAGGCGTGTAAAAAGTATTTATACGCGTTATTTAGGTACTTTGCCCTTTATTAACTTTGTATTTTAGCGCAAGCTTGTTACCTTGGTAAAGTGTATATTTATAAATAACTTTGTTTTCCCACCTTTTTTTATATTCCCTAGGGAGGTCCAGATACGGGATTAATATAATCTTATAAATATTTTAAAGGGGTATAATATATTTATAATTAAGATAAGCCCTTTAGGCTATATTAATTAAAAGTTAGCCTACCTTTAATTTTAACACTTTAACATATATTCCACAATCTAACAGCAAGGTAAATGGTGCTTACTTTTTTTTAACCAGCATGTATTTTATATAATATAAAATATAGCTTAAATTACCTACCAAAAAAAGATCTTATTACTTTTTATATTACCTTATTTTACCCACTACCTTTAGCCGCTTAACTTAGTTCCTTTCCTGTAGCTTAAAAAAAACCATGCTAATAAGGTAAATAAAATATTATAGGTAATAGGGATTAACTATAATAAGGTTTATTTTTTTAATAATATTGCCTATATTTAAGCCAAGATATTTACTTATAAAATTATTATAAAGGGATAAAAAAAGTGTGGCCTAGTGCCAGGAAAGCTTAATATTAACACTATATTAAAAAAAATTAGCTATTATAAAAAATAAAAGACCCCTTTACTAATAATAAATAAAAATAAGATTATTAAAAATCTAGCTAATATTTACAAAAAGCTTATATAAACAAGAACACTGGCTAATTCCTTTTTTAATCCCTCCTTTTTTAAGTTAATAGCTATACTAGTTTCTTTTTTAGTTACTTCTTAAATAGTATAATCCTCAGGCCAAATAATAGCTAATATTAAAGCGCGTTATTTCTTTTTTTTTTTAAGCGTTTGCACGGCCTTTAAAGGCCTTTAATATTAAGCTACAAGCAACGCTTTTAAGACCTTAAAGTTGGATAACTATTTAAAAAAATAAAGGTAAAAAAAACACGCGCCTAGGTTAAAAAAGCAAGTGCCTAAGGCCTACCAGGGCCTTATATACTATTAAAAAATTAAAAAGGCTATTAATAAAAACAAAGTTACAGAGATTAATGCGCAAATTAAGAAAAATAGCCGTAAATAAATAAAGGCCTTAAAAAATAGTGCTTAAATAACTATAAAAAAAGATATTATAGCAAGCTAGGCCCTAATTAAGCTAATTTAGGTACTAAAAAAATTATTTTTTTTTTATAAATTAAAACCCTGCTTTTTAAAGCTTAATAGCTCTTATATTTATTAAGTTATAAGTTTTTAAAGTTTATGGTAGTATAATAAAAAATATTAAAAATTAAGATATACCACGCGTTTGCTCGCGCAGTTTTAAAAATATTAATTTAATATTAATACTAGATAAAGTTTATTGCCTAAAGATTGTTTTACTCTACTTAAGAACTTATTTACTTATATTTTAGCTAAGAAATTATTTTTTAAATAGCTTCGAGGACTCTAATTTATTATTACGCCTGGATTTTTATTAGGAGTCAGATGACCCACTCTTTCCTTCAAAGAGTGGGGCATCGATAGTGACGAGTAGTGGCAGCCCTGAGCCAAGGCCTCGGCCCCTCTAGCCACTGACTGTTCCAACCTGCACTCCAACTCGGACTAATTGATTTGCATCTGCACGCTGAATGAATTCTCCAATTACCCGTGGCCTGGACATTGCATCAGCTGTATGGCAATTTCTAATAAATATCCGGTTTATCCACCACTCCCTTTTACACCTCTCACAACGCCCGCTTACTAGATCAGCTGTGAAAATTACCCCATCCAACCATGCTTACGGAGTTGCTTAGTACTGCGTGAACGGTGGTGAGAGATACGGATTCAACGCTGGGATATCATGTTGGAACTCAGGGTCTGCGCCATAGTTCTTGCCCGCCCCAGGGTGTAAGCGGCATCGCCATCGCCTTGAGCATAGCTTGATGTCCAATGACGGAGAACTATGCCCTAGCCCTAGCTGAGCCTCGCGGAGATATGGCTGAGACTATACGGCCTTATGCCGCGCCACGTTTCAACTGGCACCATTCCTTGCCTTTGCCCGGAATCAGGCAGAAAGATACTGAGTTAGGGTTCAGAGACCAGCCTCAGGCAAACTGAGCCGAGAGCCCCGCCAGTTCACTCGCCGTTCAAAGCGCTGGAACCACGTCATCTGGTGGCAGAAACAGAGATTGAGCCATTGGGGTGTGTATGCGGGGTTGCCGCTGGATGATAGGGTTGGTGTCTCGTATAAGTAGTACTCTGGTCCGACCGAGTTAGCCCGTTCTGTCTGCACCTGAAGCTGCCCAAGGCAGACTACACCATGGACAGCTGCCCAGGTGGCTAGATATCCACGCCCTGAATAGCCAGTGCGGTTACACAAAGTCTTAAATGTCCGAGCTATATCAGAGGAACGACAACTAGGCCAGTCCATAGGTGCCAGTGAGGCCAGGAATCGTACATAAAATAAGCCGATACATGTGGGTAAGCCCAAACGGTGCAGGTGCCCACGCTGGCTGGCTGTCTGGAATACCGGACCAGACTGGGTAGTCCTACCCTTGAGGGTCCCTTTCCAGCGCATATTATCAGCCGCTCCGTGTGGAACTGGGATATTTAACTGCGACATCGCCCACTTCTTAAACCCATCGTTCCCAGAATCCCAAGCTCACCTTCATCTTTCGCACCGCAAAGCCCCCAAGCTTCAGCTCATCTTCACGAACCCCCTCAACCCTCCAATCCCGCCTTCCCCCGTCCCCACCGCCATGCCGCAACTCCGCCGAGGCTACCACTGGGTCATAACCAAGGTAACCTGCCACAAATGCAGAGGCGCCGGACGGGTAGGACAGAAGAAGTACTCGGACACGATCGGGTGGGCGGGCGACGGGAGAGCGCAGGTGCGCAGTACCGAGATGGTGGAGTGTCCGACCTGTGGTGTACGCTTGTCACTTTCTTTTCTTTGCCCTGGTTTTCCTAGAGGAAATGGAACTGATTTAGGTGGTTTTGATAGGGATCTGGGAAGGAGGATCGGTATGATGCTGTGCGAGACGTGAGTGCTTTTTTGATTCGTTCTTTTGTGATTTTGGTTCTTGGGAGAGGAGGCTGGGTTGGACCTTCTGGATGCCTAGGCTGATTTGGGACCTTATTGCGTTGGGTCGGGAACAGTGACGGGTTGGACGGGCTCTGCATCAAGTGGCCTTTTCACGTTGGATTGACATCGGTCTCCCTGGATAAGAGTACGGTAATAGCGAGACGAAAGCGGACTCTGCTTTTTGACTTTACTCGGAAGAATGAGTTATTGGTTGACGTATTCCCGAAGATTCTCAGAATGGATATATTTCAGTCATCATCTCCCCCGATTAAGTCTCTAGTATTTCGAGCTCTTTGGGCAGATGGGTTACAACCTGGTTATCTGAAGTAGATGCGCCAACAGGCTGTAAACGACCAGCATTATGGGAGAAGCATCAATTGGTAAAGTCTAACCATAGATGTCATCTTCGCCTCGCGAAATCATAGTACTCGCTTCTATAATTCACATCCTCCGTCGACTCCCGCGGCGCCACATCCATCTGGATATCCGTCTTCATCATGATCCCATCCTGGCTATGATCGTGTCCATCGACAATGGCGTCCTGGCTACCAAGTGTCGTATCGCCGAGTCCCTGACGCCGACTACTTTTCAGGGGGTTTCGTCGCTGTCGGTGCTGGTGTTGGTAGCTTGCGCCGGGTGTCTGGGCGCTGTTTGGGTACTTCGCAGCGCTGGAACCGAATAGATATGGGGCGTGGGCTTTGATTAGGACGGAGAGTGAGGGGGCGCAGCCGCAGAAGATGGCTGTATATGGTTAGAGGGTGATGATGTGTGGGGTTGAGAGGTGCATACCGACGTACGCCTCGATCGTGCACCAGTTCAGGGAGTCGGCTAAGAGGAGGTAATAGTCTTCGCTGGCGGTGGATAGCTTCTTTACAAAGTCATAGCGAACGCAGGCCGCTAAGCATGCAACATATCAGTGCCAGCCGACGAACGTTGCGAAATGATCGATACGCACCCGCAATAGACAGTATGCCCAGCCCGAAGATCCCGAGAATAGCCCCCTTCTTGCGCCATGTCAACTGTAGGCCGTACAGCATCGGGACAGGTAGAAGGTATGTCAGGATATCCGTCACTATATTCAGGACACCGTTGACCTCATAGAAGCGTTGCTGTGGCCCCATGGGCATGCAGCCACTCGAGGTTGGATCAGTCCAGAACAGAGATGGAGGGCTGCAGCCCGCCAGGGCACCGATGAAGCTGGCTAGCGATAGTCCGGCGTTGATGAACATGACGAAGAACACGGCCCAGCGCATGAACTTGCGGGGATCGAGTCGCAGATAGAACCACAGCAGGGACATTTTGACCAGGCCCATGGAGAGTGTGTAGAGAAGACGGGTGACCCAAATGCACTGCACTGCAGTGAGTGGTCAAGACGACGGATGAAGGAGTGTAGGTCCAATACCTTCAGCATTGGCACGGTGTCGCTTTCTGATATGGCGAGGGCGTGCTTTCCGATTCCGTACTTCGATCCGATCATGATCGTCACCGACAATCCGAAATTGAGTATCTGGTGAAATCAGTAAGTGAGCTGACATCCTCAGCACAATTAAAAGATTCTCACCGCGCCAACTATCATCAAAACTAAAAAATCCTGGTCAGTTTCGCTTCCGAGTGAACGCAGTGGCAGGATTAGGGTTTGTGAGGTCGACTTACTATCATCCGTCCCCACAGCGCGCAGCATAAACGCGCGTGCGTAGATGCGCAGTCCAATGACAATTGAGTCAAAGACGATGAACCCAATGCCCACGCCAAAGATGGCCGCATGTCGGTTCTCGGAGACATCGCCGGTAGGCGCTGTGCTCTGGGCGACATGCATCTTCGATGCGCGGTGGAATGACAAAAGCGACCGCGGCCAGGGCCATAACCGGTCTAAGTATGCGGCTCCATGGGACAGAGATTGCCTACAGTCAGGCCACATTGAGATCCTGGTCGATTTAATATCGTTAGAAGGATTCGACTAGCGGGTCGTTGGGTAATGTTAAGGACATCGGCCGAGGGCTGGTAACCACAGAGCCCGAGACATGGGTATATGCTCTAAATCTAATCCGGAACCGTCCAGAGTAACAGGTATCCACTACCATAACATTGAGAGACAATCAAATAGTGGTTGTTCCGTCTGAGAACAAAGGGAAGATCAGTGGGAACAAGAGAAGCACTGTGGGCAATCGACGGCAACCTCGGTGCCTGCCGCAGTCAGAGCCCACCCGAAACCCTAGCTGGAGGCACTAAGAGTAGCGAGGCGGCTTGATATTGCGGCACAGCAGGCGAGCAGGGATCGATCTGCCCCGGTCGATGGCCGGTCGATCCACTATCATCAACGGCGCCAAACTACTCCGGTAGTTGAAACACCACCAAAGACCATAATTCATTAGCCTCTTGGCCGCACAAAGCGATTGTTGACACCATTGCAGAACGGGCAATTCCCCCACGGGCAATTTCCTCCCCTGCTAGCGAGCGAGATAGCGGCCGTGGATGCCGCTCTTAAATGCGACCCCTGCCGCCAGCCATTAAATAATTTTTCTACTGCAAGAACACAGCGAACAATGACTCTAGCAAAGAACGTCGCACTGGTCTTTGGAGCCAGCGGTATCTCCGGCTGGGCCGTCACCAAATGCGCGCTCTCATACCCCACGCCCACCACGTTTACCCGGGTGATCGGCCTGACGAATCGGCCCTTGCCTCTGGAGAAGAGTGGCTTACCGCAAGACCCGCGACTGGAATTGCATTCTGGAGTGAATCTGCGAGGGAGCCTTGATGAGGTGCTGGCTCAGTTGCAAGAGAAGGTTCCCAACCTGGAAGAGGTCACGCACGTCTACTACCTTGGTAAGAACCACATGCAACGCATCGACCATAAACTGATTCAGTGCGCAAGCCTACTCCAACGCAACTGCATACTCGGTAGACGTGATGGCCATCCGGGACATCAACGTGGGAATGACCTACAACGCCGTCCACGCCGTCGACCGCCTATGCAAGAACCTCAAATTCTTCGTGCTCCAAACCGGAACGAACGTACGTACCATACCAATCCAAACCTAGCAATAACCCCGACTAACAGCCGCAGAACTACGGAGTCGCAGTCTTCCGCTTCCAAGAGCACATCGAGATCAACCCGCCCCTGCGCGAAGACAGCCCGCGCATCCCCTCCCCCTGGGGCGACGAAATCTTCTACTACGCGCAGGTCGACCTGCTCAAGGAAGCCAACCGGGGCAAATCGTGGAAATGGTGCGAGGTCCGCCCGGACCAGATCGTCGGTGCGTTGCCTAACCTACCTACCCTAATACCTGGACTCGGGCTTGGCCCTACTGACACGCGCCCAGGCCACGTCCCCATCCCAACAAGCATGACCTACGTCGAGCCGCTGGCGCTGTACCTCATGCTCTACCGCTACGTGCATGGCGCGGGCTCGACAGTGATCTTCCCAGGCCCGTACACAAACTACACGCACACATACACGTCCTCGTCGCAGGACATCATCGCGCGCTCGGAACTGTACCTCTCCATCGAGAAGCCAGACCAAGCGCACGGGGAGGCCTTCAACACAGCCGACAGCGCAACGCCCGACCCCTGGACAATCGTGTGGCCGCAGATCTGCGAGTATTTCGGGCTAAAGGGGCAGGGCGCAGCTCTTGAGGACAAAGGGTGGAAGGATATCGATAAGTGGTGGGTTGCGCATCAGGGCGAGTATCAGCGGATGTGTGGGGAGTATGGGCTGCGGGCGAGGGAAATTCCTCAGGAGACGTGGACGTTTATGGCTGCGGGGTTCAGTTTTCTGGGGAGGGATCGCGAGATGAGTTTGGATAAGATTCGGAGCCTTGGGTTTAGCGAGGAGTATCCGGCTGCGGCGGGGTATCTTAAGGTGTTTGAGCGCTTGGAGGGGGAGAGGATTATTCCTGGCAAGGGGGAGTGGAGGGAGTAGATCATTCGTGGACGCAATGAAGGATATTTCGAGTTGCAAGAGAGTCCTGTTGAGGGTTAGGGTTAAGCCGCAGATGTCCGTCGTGAGGTGGAGGTGACAGCAGCCATGCCCCATCAACAGGAGAAGCATAAGCAGCAGGACGCAGTCCATCTTCAGATTAAGTTCGACGGCACCCAATAGAATCAACCCTGACTCAGTGAGTTTAAGTGTATTATGTGATCATGCCATCATCGGGCCCAACCTCAACCCCGAGCTTAACTCAACAACCACCCTACAGACCACGTCTATCCAGACAAGGCAGACCGTCTCCTCAACCTCTCCATCTTACGCGTTCCATCATCTCCATCCAAGATCCAAAATACCATGTCTGAAAAGCCCCTCCACGACAACGTCTCCCGCCACAAAACCCCCTCCGCGCCCGGCCGCGCCGTCTTCGTCGGCCTCCGAGCCCTAGACGTCTTATGGCAGTACCGCCTGCTAACACGAGGCTGGGCAAGCCAATGCATCGAACGGCTCGGAGGCCACTCCATCCCGATAACCCAGATCCTCAGCAGCGCCACCAGCACAAGCCTGACGCCGTACTACACCCTCGTGACGCTCCTCTCGCTGGGCAGCAGCATCAAGCAGATCGGCACGATGCTCTTTATCTCGGAGCAGGAGACGCCGGTTCCATCGGCTATTGCCGTCGCGGGGTTCAACACGATCTTTAACTCGGCGAATACGCTTCTTTCTGTGTGGAGTTTGACTTCCCAGGTTCCTGCGGAAACGGAGGTCCCGCTGTCGCCGGGGGAATTTGTTCTCCTGAACCCGCTCCTCTCACTGGGTGTCGGCGCGTATATCCTGGGTATCCTAACAGAGACAGTTTCCGAGGTTCAGCGCACGCTATTCAAGAAGGATCCCGCGAATAAAGGGAAGCCCTACGGCGGCGGGCTGTTCTCGCTTGCAACAAACATTAACTACGGCGGGTATACCATCTGGCGCGCAGGGTACGCGCTGATCTGCGGTGGTGCTGCGCCGGCTGTCGTGACGTTCTCGTTCTTCTTCTGGGATTTTGCGACCAGGGGCGTTCCGGTTTTGGATGGGTATTTGGAGGATAGGGTAAGTCTCCGGCTCGACTCATTGATTTTTATTGTTGAAGACCCGGTCAGGGAAACTGATGAATGATCTCTCTGCCGCTATAGTACGGCCAGGCATATAAGAACATTAAGGAGCGCGTGAAGTATCGGCTGATTCCGGGGGTCTATTGAGCCATGCATGGATGTCATGGTAGAGGGAAAGCCTTGGGATCCCAGGTACGTCGTGCAGCCCTATACATGAGCCGAGATAGTACTGAGAGGTGGAGCTTAGGAATTGGCAGGAACGGATGATGCTAGCCATACTATACTGCCAGCACGGGGATTAGTTCAAGATGTATAGCAAAGGCGTTCCTTCAGGAGCATTATGTGATCAACAAATCGGCGGGGGGTGGAAGCATGATGCAGGACATGAAGATTGAAAATTGTATCAGTTAAAAAGCTATAGTTTCAATGGACTTAGATGAACTCACGAATGGAGGCACCCTAAAGAACAAAAGCACACTTGGGAGAACAGACTCAGTCAATCCCCGCAAAGTCCAGCCCTATAGACCCATGCTCCCGATTCATATGCGTATAGCACTCCGCACTTCTCGCAAAAGTCTTCATGCACTTCCAGCAAATATGAGTCCCACACCCTCGACACTCCATGTGGTTACATCCCTCCGTCTTCTCAATCGCCGTCTTACACGCCGGGCAGTCCTTGATCCCCAGCTCCTTCTTCGCCTTTGCTAGAGCCTCGTACCCACCGGACGCAAAGTCTTTCTGTTCGGCACATGTCATTCCCGGGTGGCTTGCATGGCAAGTCGTGCAGACTGGAATGAGGCAGTTGGAACAGTGGAACACAGCGCCCGTAGTGGTCGTGCGGTAGACTTGGTTGCAATCTGGAGTCGGACAGTATTGGAATTGTTGCGGGTGGCGACGGATGTGGGATTTGAAGGAAGCTTCGAGGAGATCTTCGAATGCGCTCGAGGGGAGGTGATCCCAGAGCTCGTCGAGGGGAAGAATTGCGTTGCATTTCCCGGAGCCCCCTTGGCAGCGAATGGCTGGTTCGGTACTTTTAGTGGTATCAAGCTCGGAAAAGCAGAGCATCTCGAAGCAGTCAGCACAGTATGTATGTCTGCAGTGGGTTTTGATCGCGTTGTCAGCTTCCGTCCAGCAGATTGAGCAGTCGTTTTCAGAAAGCGCTGTGCCAAAACTCTCATCTTCCTTTTCACCAGCGAGCATGCTGAGGACAAGCTTGTAGTCCGCAGCAGACCCTTTCAACAAAAGTCGCTTAGGTTTGGACATGATGTCTAGAGCAACGGCTTTCACTCCCAGGGTCGCGGATATTTTTTGAAACCCTCCATGACATACCCAATTGAATTGCTTGTCATCGAGTTCGATGGAATGACCATCTGTCGATTTTGCTTTGGAAATGTCCACTATCAATTTACTGCCTTCCTTGCATTTCTCTTCGGGCCCGTAAAGGTGTATGCGACGAAGTCGTTTGCTTCGAACGACGACAATTCCAAGGCGCTCCTCAATATCCTTGAGCATCCGGTAGGAATCTCCATTCATGGAAAATGATGGAGACCAAAGGACGTTGCCCTCTGACATGGCGATCATACCCTCCAGTATTTCTTCGAGCGCCTTCTTCGCCCGAGCAACATCCCTGGTAGATTCGCCCTCCAGCTTCAGCACTCTGTATCCCCGGACCGGCTCATATGGAATAAAGACCAAGTGCTGTGCCTTCCAGACTGTCTCCTCCGCGCCTACCTTTGGCCGAACAGCCTGATAAATCCGCTCAGAGACCTTAAATCTTGCCGAATGCACAAGTTGCACTGTCAAGCGGCCATGGCCGTGAAATGGGAGCGCCGTCTCGTTCAAGCCTGCCGCGGCACTTCTCGCATCCTCTTCATTCTGAAATCGAGCTTTCGCCTTTGCTCGCTTTCCACCAGACTCGGCTGCTGACTCCCAGTACTCCAAAGGCCCGATTTGCAAGAGCTGTGACTTGATAATTGTGTTCGCTTCGTCAAGGCTCGCGTCATAGCTTGGATCTCCTAGGCCGATGCGGCGAGGTCGTAGGTGCACCGGAATATCGCTAAGTATATCTCCTGCGAGTATATTGGCTGGGAGATTTGAAAGCGACAACGTCCACCCTACGCCGTGGTAGCCTCCTCTGCTCCCATGAAGGCTGACGCTTCTCACAGCTTGACCAACGACCTTGTAAATACCCGCATTGAACGCACTCTCAACCTTTCTCGCAATGCTCTGACTTCCGAAACTCATCCTCACGGTACGTGACGGTCGATGCCACGAGCAGTGGACCTTTTTACTATCTACCCGGTGTGCATTTGATCCGAGCACGACGGGCGAGCTGACGGTGATTGCAGTGATTCTGGATGCCGCGGTGTTACCTAAGTCCTTCGCGAGCTTGGCGCAGAGGGTTTTTGCAAACGTTGAGTCCTCCATACGGACGTCCGCGCTACTGCCATTTTCTAGTGGTCGCACACGCACTTGACTAGCCGGAACGTCGAGGCCTAGCTGCGCCAGCATGTTTGTTATAGATGAAGGCGAGCTGTTGGGTGGAAGATTGCCCAGATGGACGGCTGAGAAATCTGACGGAAAGGAAATCTTTTCCACCTTGGCACCGTCGATGAAGGTGACAATAGCACCGGCGATTTGTCTACTGAAGTTATCGGAGTTCGTTTCCTAAAGGTGTCAGTAACAAGCGCGACGCGAATAACAAAATAAGGAATACCTCTATACTCGAAACAGCTTTCCCTTCTTTGGCTCCGGTATGAGAATAAGGACAACCGTCGCCGTTCCTACAGATACCTCGCAAGTAGAATTGACATGGAACTTGTCCTCTCGTGTCGGAATATGACGAGGGCGCAGCGACGTTGTCAGTATCTCCAGTCTTAGGTGGTGTTGTGTGAGAAAAGCGGCACTTGTCTCCATCCCGACAATTGCCCCGTGCGTAAAACCGACAAGGAACTCTTGAGAGAGACGAAGCATATTTCTGGGCATACTGATCAAGGTGATGTGGCCGGGGGGTGAGCGATGGTTCCATGTTGATGTTAGGCAGGCCTTTCGATGATGAGCTGAAGTTCGCATGGGTGCCAACAAACGGAAGACAGCCCCTCCTAATATGCACACGTGACGGATCAGTCCAGGATGTGGTGTACGACGTATCGTACCTACAGGGCTGATTGGCGGCGAGCAACTCCGCGCTTGTTCTTGCGGCACAGGTGGGATGGGAGGAGGTGTGGAAGACCAGAGAGCCGCAGACAAGGCAGAAGAAACGAAAAGCCGGATAATGTTGCAACGGTATGGGCGAAGCAAATTCAGAGAGAAAGACTCTCCTTACTGCATTTTTTGGGATAGTAATAATCAAACTGCAAAGTAAAGTCCAAAGCGCAACCGAACAGCGAGCGCCCGAAGCGCGACGTGGAAAATCGAGTCTCCCAGCTTACGGCCAATCACCGTTCCAAAGTTGGATATTGATTGGTTTCGCGGAAGCGGCCACGGCGAGCCAATACGAGGCTGCCGCTGTAGCTTCATCGGCAATATGCAGCATTGCATCTACGGCCAGCGTCCGTTGCACGAGGTGCCAACTCTCGTTGGCCGCTGATAAGCGGCACGAGAGATAGGTACTGATCGAACGGGTGGAGATGTCAGCATGAGGGCGGTAGAAACTGTATCACCGCCAATAGCGTTTCATGACATAGACCGAGAGTAGCCAGATCGTGGCGCCAGGATCATCCAACTCCATCAAGTATGCATACACCTCCAAGCGCCAACAGGCAACTCAGCCTCTTCAGGGAGTCATGCTTCCCTTTGGTGTAGCACTGACCTTGTGACCATTTATTTCCGACGTATGCAAGGTTTCCGCTAGGTCTTGCTGGCCCTCCTATCCGGTCGCATCCCGGCAACTTGTAGGCTTAGAGGACATCTTGAATCGAACGAGGGACGCAGAGACCGCATGCGTGCGTTGTTCCCTGTGAAGTTTCCCGGTTATATGGTCGCAACAAGGTTTCTAATCCTCGTCATCGGTCTGACGTTTTCGCTATGGCAATCGCAGGTCACACTTGATGTCCGGGGTCGGAAAGGGTATATAATAGCGATCGCGGTAGGCTCTCTTCACTATCGGTCTGACTTTCTCTGTCAGTTGAATGAGAAACATTCAACCTCAAAACATCCATTACCACTCACCTTTGTTGCAAAAGGCGTCTCATTGCCGTCATCCAACCATGGCAGCCATAAACAGTGGCAACTTGGGCCAAGTGCACCAAAATATCGCCGCCGGCGAGACGCTCAATACAACCGCACTCGATTCTGTCGATGACCTGCAAACTCTGCTGTGGGACTGGGCGGATTCAAAGGGAGAAAGCCGTACTTTCGTCGGCGAAATTCAACTCATTGCGGCGCTCGTTGGGACCCTAGGATTGTATCAGCCCGAGACGTTGTTGGAAATCATGGAGTGAGTTTATACCATGAATCAAAAAGCAATGGAAGACGCTGGCTTTCACGCCCGACGGTACGGTCCTCTGCCACCCACTCTTGCAACTTATATGGTGGGTGAGTTGGCCCAGTCGCCGGAAGTGAACGAGAGGTTGAGCGACGAGTTGGAACTTCGAAATGGCGACGAGCTGCTCAGATACAAGATCAAAGTGATTCGAAACTCCTTTCTCTGGCTGAATGAGCTGATGGGGCTGCGTCACTGGGTTGGGAAGCTGACCTTCGACCCTCGGGATAACGACAAGCAGATTGAGGACCGCGTGAGAATGAGGCTTCGTTGGTTAACATCAGGACGAACGAGAGAACTCTGCGAGCAGCCTGCATTAGCCAGACCACTGACAGAGAATGAAAAGTCTGGGGTGGAAAACCTCTGGGGCCTGTTTGACGGCAACGAGTGGCTGCCTATCCGGTCTGCCTTGTGCCCGGCGAGGCTGGATCCAGAGCGGAACTGGGAGGATGCGCGGCCGAGGCTGCTGGAAATCGTTGATATTTTGCAATAAGGGAGGCCATTTCTGATTGGTTTTGATCGGATAGAATAGGATGGGATGTGAGAAGAAAATACAGTTCACGTTCCTGAGAAGACGTGTCTGACATCCGTTGTCCAGGCGACATCAAAGTCACACCGCTCCTGCCGTAAACACACTCTACCCTCCTCAAGGCCCTTTCACCCTCAGACCCCGAGTGCCTCTCTTTTTTGGATTAGAGCTCCATGGAGCCAGGAACTGACAGTCCGGCCTAGATGATCGTCGCCAATCAACTCCGTACCAGCACGAAGGCCCACCGACGGTCCGAGAGTCTTCAGCGGGATCCTGCACCCACCGGCTATCTGGCCAAGGCAAATGACTCGAACGCTAATTGATTATGATTTCCGTCCTAGTGCAACGCCTTCTGGCGTCCGGACTCCGGTGACTCCGTTTCCCAATCAGTGCTTCATGCCATACGAGCAGCTTTTTTCTTCCGGTTTAGACTTGACAGAAGTCCCTCCTGGGTGGAATTCGGCCCATGCTGCGCTCATCCTGCAGGTACGGCATCTCGATGCGAACTGCGTACCATGTCCACCTGCTAGCTCAATCAGGGACTGGCGTGTTTGCCCGCGAGGCGGCGAGGATAAATCGCCATACGAACATCTAACCTTGTTGGAAAGAGCCGCAACGCCAGCCCATGCCGTTGAGCATCGTAGAAAAGCCACATTGGGATTCCTTCGTCGTTGACACTCGGACATGATCGCCCGCGGCAAATGACGTTTGATTCGCCAAAACTCTCCTCCTTGAACGTGCTTCGAGCCAACACGGTCCTGGGAGAATTTGTTCTTCTGATGCATCACATTTCGGTTCGCTGCACGAGATGGAAACAAGACCCTCCGGAGGCCCAGAGCCATGCAACGCCCCGCTGATTGTACTTTGTCTACGGCTGGCTCCCGATGTGAGCCGGAACAGTGATAAAGTGCTGTGTCCTTTCGCAAATGATCGTACTTTTGGCGCTTTCGGACGGCTGCCGTACGATATATCGCGTCCTGAGATGTCTCTGGCGTTCCATGACTCGGCTCTCGCTTCCTAGCATCACGACTACTGAACAAAAACTGGGTTCGCTTTGGAACATCTACCAACTTCCACCCAGCGCATTCTCGATCAAGAACAACCCGTTGCGCGCCAGCTCCTTGCCGTACCGCCATGGATGAGTAGTTAACGCGAACCCTTTTACCCCTTTTAGTCGAGACAATTCAGCATCAAACACATCAATCTATTATCAGATGTACGTCCCTATCATGATCCGGTTTGACCATCGAGTCCCTTACAAGCAGCTTTCTAACTTATCGAAGACTATGCTATGGTTCAGAGAACCCGGATAAAACTCACCATACGCGGATACTCCGACCAACTCGACGAAATCGATCGGCAAACCGTTCTCTGCTTCGAGGAGAGGTTCAGACAACAGTTCGGGTTTGCTAGCAACCGCCTCGAAGACCATGTCATCAAGCTCTTGGAGTTTGAGTACAACGAAGGCGACGACGACGCAAGGGAAGTCTATACTTCGAACCTGTCTCCCGATCCTCTGTTTCTGCTTGCCGGCGATTGACTCTGAACGTTCAACCTTGCGTCGGCGAGCACTGGACGCCACGGCAAGCTTGGTAACCACTGTGGACTACCGGATATAATCCCTGGACAGCGAGCGCTGAGAGCCATGAAGAAATTGCGAGGAGGCAGCGCTCTCAGTGTCTAGTCGCCCCTACGTCTCTTTTTATGCAACTGTGTATTACTCCCAAAAGTTATCCTTCGTCTGAAACTGCCCACATATTGCGTCGTCGATCGGAATACCAAGTTAAAGTCAACTCCCGATCCATGGTCCAAAGCAAGATCCAGAGGTCCGTGCTGTTCCCTCAAGGCTACGGAGTACTATGCCAGGCAACAGGCTTCCTTGGCATGGAAAAAGCAAAGAAACAAAAAAAAGTTCTTCACGGCCCCTCCCTTGGGCCTTAACACTGAATATGGTAGGGTAGAATGGCGGGCTCAACGCAGAAATCCCTCGCGGTTCCCGTCCGATAGCCTCGCTGCGCCAAAGGTAACCTCTGATCAAAGCGCTTAGCCCGAAAGACATGGTGGAATCAATTGGTTTATCGTGGGATGATTGTTGTCAGTGTCCGTCTAACATTGGCGTCTTACAGAATAAGCGAGGCGAAGCAGGTGGATCGGTCGAGCTTCAGCTCCAAACTACGGAGTAAGCCGCTCAGTGATTCCCATGGGCTATACGTACGTACCGTCCTCTGATAGCTCCAGTCCTACTCGGGAGGGGGCCGACGGGGAGATCTGGCGACCCTAGCGCTACCGACCCTTAGCGCGTGCCGGCCGCGAGTGTCTCACGGCGGGGCAGCAGCTGGCGCGACGGGCAGACAGAAACCTGATTTGCGTTGCTAATTGCAAATCTGCGGCGTTAAGTTACGTATACAGCTGCGCCGTAATCAGTGGGAAGTTCAATGTAGCGGCTCCGAGGTAGCGTTGTTACTAGAGACAACGCTCCGCTGGCAATCCTGTAGCGGAATCCTGGGGCCGGTTCCTGCCATAGCCAGGAACAGAACCTTATGGCTTCGCTCCTTCCCGATCCTTCGCCCGAGAAATCTGAACTGCTATGGTAGGGCCTAAGCCAAGGACGCTAATCTTGTAGCCCCGCGCGCTAATAAATCCGGCTGCAGTCGACTTTCTTTGTTCGCCGCCGCATCAAATCCGCCAGAAGAGCGACTCAAATCAGGACGAAGAACGCTGAAGAAAGTCAACTCACCGGATAATGGCATTGTGGAAGTTGGAAGGCGATAATATTAAGTCAGAGCTGGAATGTTCGACCTTTGATGTACTCCATACGCATCTCCATCGCAATCCCAATCCCCTGGGGCGATCATCCATCTCCAGCTCTCTCGGCCAGGGGCAAGTTTCAGCCTCGCATGCGCATGCACCGGCCGTTCCTGGCTCCCCGCTCAGCTGGTTGATCCTCGAACATTTAATCTGCAGGTGGACGGTTTGAAGCTCCAAGCCTCAAGCCTAGGCTACGTGGCTCCAATGATCAATCTCTGCCCCCAGTTTTCTTGCCCGTTTAGCTCGGGGCCATTCCTGGGTATAAATCGCGTGCTGTTTCTTAAAGCTGCTGTATCAACTCTGTGCCCACTTTCCACGGCTTCCCATAGCCCATGCGATCAGACGCAGGAACGCCCGGCTTACTATTGGACGCCGCAGGTCGGGCGCTGGAGTTAAACGCAAGATGGATCCACCCCGGAAACTGCGGACGCAATACAACCTGCCTCGATGCCCACAAAGCCCCATGGGTAGAAGTCGTGACCAGAACTCTTGCTAGGCTACTTCTTACCTCACTCTTGGCTCATCATTGGCGCGACATCGCTTTGCCAAGGGCTGATATCTTGGATTCTAAAGGAACCGGCAGGTGGTCCGGTGACTTATCCTATTCCGTCATTGAGTGGATAGTTCGTCCTGAGGAACCTAATACAAAAGCTCTTGTCCAACTGCGCGAATCTAGCGAGCTCTGACTCCGCCAGCAGGTTCGGACTTCAGCTGACCGAGAACTTTGTTCTTAGCTTGTTTCATATGCCAATGCTCATGCACCGCGGACAGCTGAGTCTGTCTTTCAGACCGGCGTTAAGATTCCTAGCGCAGTAATCGCCCATCCCTTTCCGAGAAATATCGTTTAGCTTATACTTATAACCGGCCGAGTGAATAGGCACCGGACCTGATAATCATTCCGCATGATATCCATGGTGGCATTCTGCCATCACCAAAGCGATCGGCTATCAGGAGTGGGTCTAACTCATTTTGCCCGTCCGGCGGGTGAAGCTGGGGTTAGGACTAAGAGAATAGACGCGTTCATCTACGAATATGATGACGAAGCTTGAGCCTTTCGTCTCTCGCGACCAGCGATGCCCGGAATGTTCATGCTTTCGCGATACGAGGGACACTGCTACGGCCACGGGACTCCAGCGATCCTCGTAGACCCACACGCTGACCTCGGGAACAAAACCCTAAGTGCCGTAATGCCACGGCCCGTCCGCCGGGCTCCAAGGTGCCGGATGCTACGGAGTACATTTAGTGGTACAGACTCCGATGCCTATCACCAACTGCGTGCAGGAAAAAGCAACCGGTGAGTCGAATACTGCGGGGCTAATAGGCTGCTTTCGGGACCAACGGCATAATCGGTCCTTACCCAGGGCATGCACGACCTAGAGTCGTGGGGCTTGCATTAGGTCTCTATCAATCTAACCAACGCTATCAAGAGCACGGGCTCTGATCGAGCAGGGTTCCTTCCAAGATCCGTTAATGCATTGCCGGAATCTCAATGGTGGGAAACGTTCACGTGTGGTGAGCTGAACAGCGGTCAGTGATCAAGGCGATTTTTAGAAGGCTGTAACCGGAACATCCTTGCATGGATGGCCGTCAGGGCTGCCCATAGTTCGTCAGCAGTAGGCGGCTATGGGGGAAGCAAAGGCGCCAGCGTTATAGCCATTTGGCATTTGAACAGAGCCTCTTGAGAGTTCTTATCGTTCGCTCTCGCCGGCTGCTGTTGATATTTGCTCCCTTTTCACCCGTGCGTGGAGAGGACCTGCGCAAATAAGACGGGAGCGCTTGGGCGGGTACTAGACGAGCCGGCCCGAGGAATGTGGGCTTTCAGCTTTGCTGCAAGCTTAATGCACGTAAGGCAGGATGACAACCAGCTGGTCCCGTTTGATTGGCCATCCAACCAGCACAGCATTGTCATTGACAATGGCCACCGCTTCTTGAATAGCGAACGTGGGGGTGGGGGCGAACGACTCCACCAGTCATGGATGCCATTCTGCTGCCAGCTCACACATTGTCCGCGGTCAGCCTCTTGCACGAGTCAGGAAACGATAGGACGATCACTGTCCACATCCTGATTCGTGCTATTCACCCAGCAGTTCGCCTTTCTTTTTCCTTTCCCTCGATCATGCGCCCCTCTGGCAATCCCTGACCGCAAGATCAAAGCATCACACTGGAAGGGAAGAGGTTGCCGTGCCAGAGACTGTTTCGTGAGAGGAGACCCTTATCTGCGCAGCAAATGCCGACGACGAGCGCCGTCAGAACCAGCTTAGTATTCATGTCGTTTTTCTCCCACTGTTTCCGGCAACAAACAATTTCCCAGTTGTAATACTCAGCCAACCGACTTGATTAAGAGGAACCGCGACCGTGAATATAGAGTTGGAAAGCGACAATGAGCGCCGACAGAGTTAACACATTCTCAATCGAGTCGTTCATGCAGTCGTATCGCCAGGGCACTCATTTTTCCAAGGATACTGTTCAAAGGGTTGCAGACGCATGTGGCAGGGCTCTTAGGCAAGCCCAGATACTCCACGAGATAACGTACACCACCCCACCCAGCGCGAGGCTAGAGGGGGAGCTCAAAATGCGCGAGGCGCTCCGAGGTAAGCCTTATACGCAGAACGACGAGATCGAGGCGGATGTCATTTTGGCCAGCGTATTGGTCCAAGTGCACCTGCCCCAGGAGAGAAGTCATGTCAGCCAGATCATTTGCGAAAACTTCGAGATACACCATCGATCTGCCAGGACGGTAGATGGGATTGGAACCGCACCAGAACCAACCAACCTGTGCACGGAGTACTATTGGGTCTCGTTGAAAGAAGAGAATGTGTGGCCGCCGAGGCTTGTTGAAGTTCAGGTTGCGACAGACGAAGGCGATAGAGAGTTCAGAACCCAGGATGAACTGGTAGAGTTCCTCAGCAAATGGGCGGTTCTCATAGGCATGGAGGTGAAGCGCGGCGACGTGCAACCACTCTGGGAACTATTGAACGTTCCGACTTCGCAGCAAGTCAGGGACTTCCGAGATTTTCTGGCGGGCCTCAATCTGTCAGCAGCGCCCGATTTAGGTAGCGACTACGCGCGCAGGGCGCGTGAGTTTGAGCCCGGACTCGAATTCAGCCTTGCCATGTACGTGGCCGATTCACTAATGCGGTCGCCGAGGGGGAATGACGGAATTCAAAGAGCAATGTCAGTCTTGGAGGAGAAGCCCGAGGCAGAGCAGCAAAGAGAAAAAATGAAGATTCTAAGGGATTCGCTCATCTGGCTGGTCCGTTTCGGTTCGTGGGGAGAAGGCGCGACCGACATGCTTTTCGACGGGCTAGACAAGGCGCTTCAGACTCGACAGCTAAAGAGGATTGTCTGGCTAAACAAGCCATGCGCGAGAGACTTCCTTGACGACCGAATTGGTTTTCTCACCAACCGCGAAGTCCAGGATCTGGAGCAGTTGTGGCTTTTGTTTGCGCGACATAACCGGGCGCCCGCACAGTACGTCTTCAATCTCGCAAGGCTGGGGATCAGGGGCCACTCTGCGCCCTCTTGGTTGGAGTTTGACAAGGCGATCACGGACTTGCATATAATTCCGCGCCTCTTTTGACTGCATATGAAAAGGATGACAAGAGCGAATCGGAGCATTGACGCAAAGTCATAAGCGAGCTGGAGGCGAGAACGAGACTTGATGGGCGCAAAGCTATTGTTACAGGGCTATATTAGCGTCTAGGACTGGCGGCATTGACCCAGTCCAGAAACTGAAGATTGGATTACTTTCCTCTGAATCACATCAAAATATTCATGCCTATAGTCGTCCATCACGATCAGTTTAGTCGTAATTTGACAATCACAAGAGACTGTAGGATCCTGTCGGGGTAAGCAACGGTCGGGTGGGAGAGGAATGCATAACCTTAATCATCTCCAGGGTGTCGGTGAGTAGGGTAGTTTTGATGCAAGCGAGCGTCGGCACACCCATAACTCGGTACTGTCTGCAGGGCGGCTCGATACGTCAGGGTGCTCGAATTGAAGACCTGGAGCGGTATGACAAGGATAAATCAATATATCCAAGAAGACGAATTGCTGCCAGCTTGTTCTGGAGGCCAAGGCCTTGTAATTCCCGTTGCCAACCTTGGAACTCACAGCGGGCTCGCTCCGTGGCCGGGAGCAGGGAAGCAAGGGCACGGGAAATGAGAGAATCACGTTGTAAGTGCAGTCTGCATATGCAAATTTGCAATAAGAACCCGACCCGACTCGCGATTGGTCATGCAGACATGACTCCCATCCAGCCACAGTGGAGGCCCGCCAAGGAAAAGGGGTGCTTGGTTGGTTAGGGAATGGTTTGACTGTCCACAACAAAGTACCAGGCATTTGTGTACCTTTTGTGTACCCCGACTTCTCCTGTTCATGACTGGCCTTCAAACTATGCCATGCTGAACTGCCAGCACAATCCAGACTCTGCAGGAGTGCATTTGGCTAATCGAGCAGAATTGGGTGAGGGCATCTGATTCTTGAATCCAAGGTCGATTGGGGGGCGATTTCCGCGAGAGGACCGAGCTCTTAATACCTGCCTTGGCCCGCGATACTGCTGGAGGACAAATAAGCTTAATCGCGACCATCAGCAATCTGATTGGTACTATGGTAGTGGCACCGTCCACAGATCCACAGTACTGTGTCTTTCTTTTCCCCAAAAGGAGAAAGGTACGGCAGATTCAGATTAAGCGTACCTGAAGGTGTCCAGGCCTCGATACATCACTCCTCTACGTAGCCCTCTTTTCTTCTAGATATAAAGGGGCTCGCGCCTCCAGGACCTTTGGTTGGCAGCTCACAGCCTCGACGGGCACGTAAGCACAGACTCGCGATGTCTTCAACGACAAGTCTAGAGACAGGCCAACCGGAGGCGACCGCGCAAATGATCGTGGACGCTCCTAGGCCACTCCCCGACATACCTCTTGCCGTTCTCATGGAGCACAAGGGCGAGTAACCCCTTTTCCCACCTGTTGCATAGTCTCTTGATATCAGTGCTAACTTGCCATAGAGCGACTAGGCGGATTTGACATCCCGGCCATGATGCGCACGATGCACGCAGCCCGGGGTGGGGAAGGGGCTGTACAGAGGCCGTGCTTCCTGGTAATCAACGCGGTTATTTGTCGACTCCAACAAGATCTCGATCACCATGGCATCGAGGGGGCTCGCCTTGAGCGCGTGCTTCTAGAGTTCCTGGATTATGTCTTTGTCTGGGAGTGGACCTGTCTGGAGGATGCTTGGATTGTTTATCTACATGAGTATGTTTCAAGCCGCTACGAAATACGTAAATCTACTGACTATCGGCTGCTATGATCAGCGAACTTCATTTGAGCAAGGTTGCTCAATACCTTGGGAGTGCGGTGAGCATCAGGTAGATCGATACCTGACAGGACGATCAATGGACCAAAAGTTCTTTTTATTTCTACATTTATTAATCTTCATATGTTATCGCTACTCTGTATAGCGTTTTAATAGTAAAAGTCCGTGAGACATACATTTGTGGATGATTGATGGTGGTGTCTACTAGCCTCACGGTAGATGATGCTTTGATGATTCAGTGGTGGGGTGCAGGGTGTACTCTCTGGGTGAGATGACCTTCAACCCCCCCATAGATGATTATGTGCAGTGAATACAAGTTTCACAATTCTCGAAAGCAAAAACATCGATTAAAGCTCATCAACGCGAGCTCAGAGAAGTGTTTCAGGTTGCGCCTCCGAGCGTAACCAACAAGCAACTACGGAGCTTCGACGGTGGAAGATCATGGCCAGGGGTTCGTCAAAGCAGCCCACAGGCGTCTCAAGCACTTAACCATTTCGAGGAGAATTGGTTTGGTATGAGCAGAACTCGTGTAGGTAGTCCAGAGGTTGAGGCCACTAGCGGTCTGCAAATGCGCACGTCTTCCGCAGACCTAATCCGAAAATGGTCTACGCCAATCCTTCCATCAAGGATTTGTTTTTTCTCTCTGGGGCCCGGGGCTAAATGATCATGTGCGCCACGAAGATGGCCTCTCCTACAGCATAATGTAATTGTGTCACACCCCAGGTTTAGACTCCATGAGAGTCGTACTTGACCTTCCACTGCATACAGTGTTCTATAATGCCATGGTACTTCTTGGAGTAGAAGATTAGCATTGTGAGACCATGCGGACAGCTAAATTAGCTTACAGTTCAATGGCTAGACTCTCCCCGTTGCTACCATAGCGTTCAGCCTCGAATGCATCCGGCCATTCCTGGATCAGCGAGACCGGGAAGATCCGCCATCCAGCAGCCATCCTTCTTGATGACTCGTGGCTTTAGGCTCCAGCCATCTGCGGTAAGCTGACAGCTCCTCGCTCGCGGCCTGGCCTGGTGCCAACGGACCCTCACCGCTGCACCGGGTCACAGCTTTGCCGGTGGATGAAGCGGTCTCCAGGGCTCTCCTCAGTTTTTGATTTCTTTCTCCCAGCAAAATTCCGATTCCTCGTCGGTCGGCAACAGCGGCGCCGTCGGAGTTACGGTACCGGATATATTTACACTGCGAGGATTATTCGAAGAGTTCAGACAACAGAGCAATTGAATACGTCATGCAAAAGTCGCTTCCTCTTTGGCTCTTCCTTGTTTTCCAACTCATTTGGGCCTGACCTCCGTCGGACGGTCGGCTTTATGTCCTCCCAAGCCCTCCGTAGGCTACTTGGTACTCAAAAAAGTAGGGCATCATAATATCGATTCGTTGACTTAAGGTTCAACACTACGCGCGACAATGTAAGATAGATCACAAACTTGCCAACGGCTACATGCACGTCAGTCCGAGAACTGGCCGGATGCACCCTCGTTCTGGGTACTCGTACTTCTGTCCAAAAAAAAAAAAAACCAAAAAAAAGGAGCCTGGGAAAAGCAAACCGATCTTGTTGCCACTCTGTCAAGGTGTGTGTCACCTCCTCGGTTATAAGTCTGCCTAGACAGTGAGAAGAGTACCTACTGCCTGCATCCCTGCCCCACCAGACGCAGGAACAACTGCATCACTCCGAGTGCTCCTGGACCACTGCAGGGGCCAGCGTACATGTTAAACATGATAGGTCGGGGAACTTGTGGTCAGCAGCCGGTCCCATGAACACCTTCGATGACAGTGGCCAACGTTCATATCTGATTGTTGATCAAGCGGTCTCAGCTCGCGTTTGCCTGTTTGTCATCATGCTTGGCTTACCTCCTTTGTTGGCTCACCTCCATTCTATGTCTCTTCCAACATTGACAGAGTACGGAGAGGTAGGTGAGACGGCGAGGCTGGAGCAAAAAAATCTTGACTTACACAAATAATCATCATATCAGCTGCAGTATACCTGCACGACACCGCATCCGGCAAAATGGAAAATTTTTTTCTAAGTCCGGACTCAGCTAACCTTGGCCTTTATTTCAATGTGATCTTACTGTCGCAGCGGCAGTTTCTTCAGCCGTCAAAGCCGAGTCTATAAACCCGTCCACCATTAAAGTTTTAGCTAGACTATATTGTTGCTTGACTTGTCTTAAAAAATCTTTTAGAGGTCTTTGCTTTTTCGAAGAGTGATCGAGCCAGCCGCGAGGTGTTCCATCCCAGGGCAAACCTGGTTGGCTGGGATCCACTTTAGCCCTAACTCATGAAGTGCACGATCAAAATCTCGGGATATTTTCGCCCAGCAGATATCCAAAAACATATAGTCCCGCAAAATAAAAAAGACAACTGTCCTATCGCGTTCCAACTGTGTTCTTGAATCGATGAGCTTGGTTTTGCCCGAGCGCGCACAGGGCCAGGGCGCACGGATGCCGCAGCAACGCGGGCCCTGTCAGCCTCGTGGACAAGTCTCGAAACGCTCGACAGATGTCAGCTTTGGCCTTGCTTTTGCGAACAATCCGAGGGAGGAAATCTTACCAGTTTTCGAAGTACGGGATCGCCAATCGCCAGTCTTAGTTTCACCCTTCATCAGGGACAAACAAATAGAGGCTCGGCGATGTTGTTCTATGTTCCGGTGGGCAGCATATATATTCACCCAGCGGGTCGAGCAAATAGGAGGGACCGTATGAATGCTGCGCTGTGAATGATAATCTCTCAGATCATGATTATGCTCAGACCTCTGGTACATTGTCCACCCAAAGTTGAAAAATGAGTTTCCAGCGTCGGCTACCATCACTTCCACCAAAAAAAGTTCAAAAAGAGACATACAACAGCTGGGATTCGCATGTGGTCACCCACCATACTACTAACAAGCCGGCGTGTGGTTTAAGTACGGCTGAGCGGACGGGAAGCCCTGTTCTCCACACCCTATGGTCGTATGTGCCGTATTGTAGGATTTAAAGGCTTATATTGTTAGCATCATTAACAATAACATAACTTCAAGCGTCGCTAGCATTCCAGTGAAAGGTAAAGGTAGACCAAGGGGCGTGCATGTTGCTGCAGTTGGGATGTCCACTGCTCTAAACCGCGGAATTGGATGACGAAGAAGACGAGCTCATCTGGGCCCTTCACTTTCTTGCGCCAGTTCCAGAGCTGGAGAGTGGTGGTGACCACACAGCGGACAATCGGAACCTCTGAACGCCTGGAAGTTACTAGTTATTGCATAGCTTGATAAAATCA